GCCCCTAGGCTAAGCCACACAGCAGCAACAGCATCGCCCCCTACTGGCAGACTAACGCACAGGGGCAGCTGCCACTGGGAGTGCCCCTAGGCTAGACCACACAGCAGCAACATCGCCACCCTACTGGCATACTGACGTACAGGGACAGCTGCCACTGGGGGTGCCCCTAGGCTAAGCCACACAGCAACAACAACATCGCCCCCTACTGGCATACTGACGCAGAGGGACAGCTGCCACTGGGGGTGCCCCTAGGCTAGATCACACAGCAGCAACACCGCTACTGGCAGACTAACGCACAGGGGCAGCTGCCACTGGGAGTGCCCCTAGACTAGACCACACAGCAATCAGGATCCCAGTTGAGTGACCTCTAGGCAATGTTTCAGCATCGTATGTTGATGAAAATTATTATGTCAATGATTACGATAATGACACCAATGATTATGACAATGATGATGACAATAATGATTACAATGATAACAATTATGATAACGATGATGACGACACCTATAACAATGATGACGATGATGACGACACTTATAACAACGATTGAAGATGATGACGAGAATGAAAAACGATGATGATGACGATGATGACAAACAATCGCAAAGCGTGTTGATCTTGGGACGTGACGCCCTGAATCTAAATCTTGATTTAAAGCTTTCGTGACGGCAGTAATTCATATTCTTGGCTCTTTCGGTAAAGTCACCACGTTGAAGGGAAACAATAAAATAATAAAATATATATTTAAAACAATAAAAATTCTCACGACGTTTCGACCATAACACAAACGGTCGTCATCAGGTGCGTCGGTTTGCATTAATTTACTCAAGACGATGGACTGGGATCCACCCACCCTGGGACCCACCGTGACAAACTATTTGGGACAAGTTTCTTGTGAGCGAGCACACAAATGTTGGCACTGTAACACACCATTAGTGGGGGTGGCCGATACCACGCCCGACCGCCTTTGTCTCCCCAGTGGCGATGTTTTGCACATTCTGCACCAGATACTTTATTTGAGGCTGAGGGGAGACACAAAGGGGCGGTTCCAATAGTCGCCAACTGTGGTGGTGGTTGTTGTTGGTGATGGTGGTGGTTGTTGTTGTTGGTTGTTGTTGGTGGTCGTGAGAGGGACTCGAACTCGGTGGTGATCCTGCCGCCTCTCCCCGCTCACACAGTGACACACACAGTGACACACACGCAGTGACACAGTGACACACACAGTGACACACACACAGTGACACAGTGACACACACAGTGACACACGCACACAGTGACACACACACAGTGACACACACACAGTGACACACACAGTGACACACACAGTGACAACAACAACCGCCATTCGCCACTAAGTGGCGGTGACGTCATCACGACGCTTGTGCCAGGCTATGTGCACCCTGAGGCCACGTGAAGTGTCGAACGCCCGCTGGCAGGAGGTCACGGGGCAGACACAGGTGCCACGGGTCGACTGACTGAGATGACCGAGATGACTGGCTGATGCACCACCTGTGCCCCCTACTGTGCCAACCTGCTGTGCTTTAGCCACCCGGTGCTCCGCTCCTTGTTGTGAGCGTCGCTCCTCGCCCTCCGTTGTTGTTGGAGGGCGACTGCCTCCAACTGCCCAGTAGCGTCCTTCACGAGCCACCTCCACAGAGGCCGATCTTGACACCGCTGGTACCAGTCATCGGCAAGTCCACTCAGCTCCACGTCCTCCTGTACCACGTCACTCCATCTCTTCTCTAGCCCGTGCCGCGCTCGTTTAGCCCCCTCGATCCGGCCGAACAAAAGCTGTTTCGGCATCCGGTGGCTGGGCATGCGGGCTACATGACCCACCCAACGCAGCCTTGCCCGCCGGAGGAGCTCACCGATGGGACCTTGCCCAGATCTTTCAAGGATTTGTGAGCTCCTCACACAATCCAGTCTGGTTAAACCCAGGATGGATCGTAGGCAGGCCAGCCTAAATGTTTCTAACCGGCGAAGATGTTCCATTAGGGGGGTCCACGTTTCGCAAGCGTAGAGAAGGGAGGGAATGACCGTGGCCGAGAAGACCTGAAGCTTAGTGCGGAGCGACAGACCAGGTAGCTTCCACACAGCGTTACGCAACCGATGAAAAAATATTGCCGCTCGACTGATTCGGAGTGAGACCTCTGCTGTTAAACTGGAGCCGGTCATAAGCACACTGCCCAGGTATGGGAAACTCTCCACTCTCTCCACAACTGCCCCATCACCGATTGGGAGTTGTGGGGTGGAGTGTCCGATGGCACAAAAGACCCAGGCAGGTGCTTAGTTTTGGTGGGGCTGATGGTAAGGCCCCATCTATTAGTGGCACGCCCCAGTCTCAGCAGCAGCGTCTCCAACTCCTCCTCTAACATCATCACCAGCACCATCATCACACACCACACACCAGCCTAGCTAACATCACAATCATCACACCCATCACACACCAGCCTAGCTAACATCATCACCATCACACCCACCACACACCAGCCCAGCTAACATCGTCACCATCATCACACCCACCACACACCAGCCCAGCTAACATCATCACCATCATCACACACCACACACCAGTCCAGCTAACATCATCATCACCATCATCACACCCATCACACACCAGCCCAGCTAACATCATCACCATCACACCCACCACACCAGCCTAGCTAACATCATCACCATCATCACACCACACACCAGCCTAGCTAACATCACAATCATCACACCCACCACACACCAGCCGAGCTAACATCATCATCATCACATACCACACACCAGCCCAGCTAACATCATCACCATCATCACACCCACCACACACCAGCCTAGCTAACATAATCACCATCACACCCACCACACACCAGCCCAGCTAACATCATCATCACCATCACACCCACCACACACCAGTCCAGCTAACATCATCATCACCATCACACCCATCACACACCAGCCCAGCTAACATCATCATCACACCACACACCAGCCTAGCTAACATCATCATTATCATCACCCACCACACACCAGCCTAGCTAACATCACCATCATCACACCCACCACACACCAGCCTAGTTAACATCACCATCATCACACCCACCACACACCAGCCCAGCTAACATCACCATCATCACACCCACCACACACCAGCCTAGCTAACATCATCACCATCATCACACCCACCACACACCAGCCTAGCTAACATCACCATCATCACACCCTCCACACACCAGCCCAGCTAACATCATCATCATCATCATCACACCCACCACACACCAGCCCAGCTAACATCATCATCACACCCACCACACACCAGCCCAGCTAACATCATCATCACACCTACCACACACCAGCCCAGCTAACATCATCATCATCACACCCACCACACACCAGCCCAGCTAACATCAACATCATCATCACACCCACCACACACCAGCCTCGCTAACATCATCATCATCACACTCACCACACACCAGCCTAGCTAACATCACCATCATCACACCCACCACACACCAGCCTAGCTAACATCACCATCATCACACCCACCACACACCAGCCCAGCTAACATCATCATCATCATCACCATCACACCCACCACACACCAGCCCAGCTAACATCATCATCACACCCACCACACACCAGCCCAGCTAACATCATCATCATCATCACACCCACCACACACCAGCCTAGCTAACATCACCATCATCACACCCACCACACACCAGCCTAGCTAACATCACCATCATCACACCCACCACACACCAGCCCAGCTAACATCATCATCATCACACCCACCACACACCAGCCTAGCTAACATCAGCATCATCACACCCACCACACACCAGCCTAGCTAACATCACCATCATCACACCCACCACCAACCAGCCCAGCTAACATCATCATCATCACCATCACACCCACCACACACCAGCCCAGCTAACATCATCATCACACCCACCACACACCAGCCCAGCTAACATCATCATCATCATCACACCCACCACACACCAGCCTAGCTAACATCACCATCATCACACCCACCACACACCAGCCCAGCTAACATCATCACCATCACACCCACCACACACCAGCCTAGCTAACATCACCATCATCACACCACACACCAGCCTAGTTTACATCACCATCATCACACCACACACCAGCCTAGCTAACATCACCATCATCACACTCACCACACACCAGCCCAGCTAACATCATCACCATCATCACACCCACCACACACCAGCCCAGCTAACATCATCACCATCATCACACCCACCACACACCAGCCCAGTTAACATCATCACCATCATCACAACCACCACACACCAGCCCAGCTAACATCACCATCATCACACCCACCACACACCAGCCCAGCTAACATCATCACCATCATCACACCCACCACACACCAGCCCAGCTAACACCCCCCCACCCACCCTTCTTCCCCCCCCCTAGCCCCCGTCTTTGCAAGGCGTCAGCCTCTGGGTATAAAAGGACCCTTCACGCCGTCCCCCGGCCACATCATCACTTTAGTGGAGCCTCTCTGCGCAAGGCGAGGGGAGTTGGAGACACGGGGCGAGTGAGTTAGTGAGTTAGTGAGTCAGTCAGTGAGTTCGTGAGTCAGTGAGTGAGTTCGTGAGTCAGTGAGTGAGTGAGTGAGTTAGTGAGTTAGTGAGTGAGTTAGTGAGCGAGTTAGTAAGTCAGTGATTTAGTGAGTCAGTGAGTGAGTTAGTGAGTTAGTGAGTGAGTAAGTCAGTGAGTGAGTCAGTGAGTTAGTGAGTGAGTCAGTAAGTGAGTCAGTGAGCGAGTTAGTAAGTCAGTGACTTAGTGAGTCAGTGAGTGAGTGAATTAGTGAGTCACCCAGTGAGCGAGTTAATTAGTGAGTGAGTTAGTGAGTGAGTTAGTGAGTCAGTGAGTGAGTCAGTGAGTGAGTGAGCGAGTTAGTAAGTCAGTGACTTAGTGAGTCAGTGAGTGAGTGAATTAGTGAGTCACCCAGTGAGCGAGTTAATTAGTGAGTCACCCAGTGAGCGAGTTAATTAGTGAGTGAGCGAGTTAGTGAGTCAGTGAGCTCGTGCCAGTGAGTGAGTGTTACTAGCAAAGGAAGTTGTTCTACCGTCGATCAAGGTGAGAAGTGCTCGTTTATATTGTGTGTGTGTCGCTGCTCCTCGCGAACAGCACCATTGCTTCCTCCTCCTGAGCCTGTTCAAGGCTACACGGGCTGTGGTTTTGCCTCGTGTGGTTCACCGTGCGAGTAATTGTGTCAATGTGTGTGCGTGTGTGTCGTGGAAACATCAGCACCGGGAAGACAAAGGCGGCCGGGCGTGGTGCTGTCCACAGTGCTGGCCTTCGTAGGTGCTCGCTAACAGCACTTGCCCCAACAGTCTGTTGAAGGCTATACGGGGGATCTTTGTCTTTGCGTGAGAATGTACATGCCTGCGCGGTATGTGTGTGTAAGTTTAAATGTGAGTGTGTAACTCTCTGTGTGTGTGTGAGAGAATGTTTATCTAACACTGTGTGAGACTGTGTGTGTGAGTGTGTAACGTTGTGTGTGTGAGACTGTGCGTGTGTAACTGTGTGTGTGTGAGTCTGTGCGTGTGTGAGTGTGTAACTCTGTGTGAGACTGTGTGTGTGTAACTGTATGTGTGTAACTGGATGTGTGAGAGACTGCGTGTGTGTAACTGTGTTAAGGCTATATGGGGGATCTTTGTCTTTGTAACTGCGTGTGTAACACTGTGTGAGACTGTGAGTGTGTAACTCTGTGCGAGGCTGTGTGTGTAACTGTGTGTGTGTAGCTGTATGTGTGTGATAGTGTGTAACTGTGTGTGTGACTGTGTGTGTGACTGTGTGTGTGACTGTATGTGTAAGACTGTGTGTGTAAGACTGTGTGTGTGTGAGACTCTGTGTGTAAGACTGTGTGTAAGACTGTGTGTAAGACTGTGTAACTCTGTGCGTGTGTGAGTGGGGAGCGGTAGTGTAGTGGTCAACCCGAGTTCGATTCTCGCTCACGGCCAACACCACCAGTGACGATTATCTGAACCGGTTCTGGGCCTCCCCTAGGTCGACTCGGCCTTAAACGAGTACTTGGTTTGGTAAACATCGCCACTGGGGAGACAAAGGCGGTCGGGCGTGGTGCTGGCCACTCACCCCCTCGTGTGCCGTGCCGGCCTTCATAGGTGCTGCTCGCTAACAGCACTTGCCCCAACAGTCTGTTAAGGCTATATGGGGGATCTTTGTGTGTCGGTGTGTGTGTGTGTCTATGTGTGTGTCTGTGTGTGTGTCTGTCTGTGTGTGTGTCTGGGTGTGTGTCGGTGTGTGTGTGTCTGTGTGTGTGCGCGTGTGTCTTTGCGTGTGTCTGTGTGTGTGTCTGTATGTATGCGTGTGTGCGTGTGTTTGTGTGCATGTGTTGGCATCGTCCCCACTCCTCCTGATGTCGAGGGTAAATGGGCGAGGTTTAGGACTGTGACTCATGCAGCTGTATTGGCTGCTTTGGGTACGTGGTCCAGACCTCCCCAGAGACCCTGGCTGACAGAGGAGGTGTTCAGGATAGTTGAGAAAAAGCGACAGGCCCACTGTCATCGGCTACAGAATCCCACGTCAGAGAATGAGGCTTACTGCAGCCTTCGCTCGGAGGTTCGGAGAGCTGTGAGGCGCTGCAAGGATGGTTGGTGGTCGCGGGTTGCCGAGGAGATGGAGTCTGCCTCAGTGGCCCGCGATCACAAATGCCTATTTAACTCCATCAAAAAGATAACCTGCAGCGCCACACCTATTACCATCATTAGGGGAAAAAACGGTGATCCAATCTCCGACCCCCAGGAACAGGTTTGCAGATTTGTTGAGCATTTCTGTGAGGTCCTGGGGGAGGGGAAATCCCTCAGCCATGAAAACATAATGGCACAAAGTGGGGATGACCCTGCTGAGGCTGCGGTGCCTCAAATATTGGAAGAAGTCACCCCCTGTGAGTGGCTGGCTGAGGTGCCATCTGTTGAGGAAGTACTGAAGGCGATTCGGAGTCTGAGACCAGGAAATGCACTGGGCAGAGATGATCTCATAAGCGAAATGCTGAGGGAGGGTGGCATTTGTGCACAAACTGCCCTATATGACCTCATAACAACAGTCTGGACCACTGGACGGGTTCCGCAGGATTGGAAGGATGCCCTGGTGGTCCCCCTCTTTAAGAAGGGGGACCGCACAGACTGTAACAACTACAGGGGCATCTTACTCCTCAGTGTGCCGGGAAAGGTCCTGGCAAGGATTATTCAACATCGCCTTGCCAGGCACGCTGAGGAGAGGCTGCAGAGCCCCAATGCGGTTTCAGGAAAGGGCGATCCTGCACAGATGCCATATTTTCTGTCCGTCTGCTACAGCAGAGGTGTAGGGAATTCCAACAAGATCTACATCTCTGCTTTATTGACCTGGTCAAGGCCTATGATACCATCAGTAGGTCTGGGCTCTGGGTTGTTCTTCGTACTTTTGGAGTCTCTGACCCCCTGCTCACGATCATTAAGGACCTTCATGATGGTGAGCGGGCCCGAGTAAAACTACGTGGCCGGGAGTCAGAGCCATTCCCTGTACACCTTGGGGTGCGACAGGGATGTCATCTGGCTCCCACATTATTTAACATCTATTTTGACCACGTAGTTCGTGAAGCCTTCAATAGCTGTACCGGGGAATCTCCATTTGGTAGAGATATAATGGGAGGCTGATCGATGCCCGGGTGCGGTCAAGGCATGGCTCCCTATTGCTCAACCATGTTATGTATGCCGATGATTTGGTAATAGCTGCTCATTCAGAGGAGGAGTTGGAGACGCTGCTGCTGAGACTGGAGCGTGCCACTAAGAGATGGGGCCTTACCATCAGCCCCATCAAAACTAAGCACCTGCCTAGGGATTTTGTACCATCGGACACTCCACCCCCACAACTCCCAATCGGTGATGGGGCAGTTGTGGAGAGAGTGGAGAGTTTCCCATACCTGGGCAGTGTGCTTATGACCGGCTCCAGTTTAACAGCAGAGGTCTCATTCCGAATCAGTCGAGCGGCAATATTTTTTCATCGGTTGCGTAACGCTGTGTGGAAGCTACCTGGTCTGTCGCTCCGCACTAAGCTTCAGGTCTTCTCGGCCACGGTCATTCCCTCCCTTCTCTACGATTGCGAAACGTGGACCCCCTTAATGGAACATCTTCGCCGGTTAGAAACATTTAGGTTAGCCTGCCTACGATCCATCCTCGGTTTAACCAGGCTGGATTGTGCGAGGAGCTTACAAATCCTTGAAAGATCTGGACAAGGTCCCATCGGTGAGCTGCGTTGGCTGGGTCATGTAGCCCGCATGCCCAGCCACTGCATGCCTAAACAGCTTTTGTTCGGCCGGATTGAGGGGGCTAAACGGGCGCGGCACGGGCTAGAGAACAGATGGAGTGATGTGGTACAGGAGGACGTGGAGCTGAGTGGACTTGCCGATGACTGGTACCAGCGGTGTCAAGATCGGCCTCTGTGGAGGAGGCTCGTGAAGGACGCTACTGGGCAGTTGGAGGCAGTCGCCCTCCAACAACAACGGAGGGCAGAGGAGCGACGCTCACAACAACGAGCTGAGCGCCCAGTGGCTAAAGCACAGCGGGTTGGCACAGTAGGGGGCACAGGTGGTGCATCAGCCAGCCATCTCAGTCATCTTAGTCAGTCGACCCGTGGCACTTGGGTCTGCCCCGTCACCTCCTGCCAGCGGGCGTTTGCCACTTCACGTGGCCTCAAGGTGCACATGGCCTGGCACAAGCGTCGTGCTGACGTCACCGCCACTTAGTGGCGAATGGCGCTTGTTGTGTCTGTGTGCGTGTGTATATATGTGTGTGTCTTTGCGTGTGTCTGTGTGCGTGTGTCTGTGTGCGTGTCTGTGTGTCTGTGTGCGTCTGTGTGCGTCTGTCTGTATGTGTGTGTCTGTGTGCGCGTGTCTGTGTGCGTGTGTCTGTGTGCGTGGTGAGCGGTAGCGGTTAGCGCTACGAACCCGGCCACCCGAGTTCGATTCCCGCTCGCGGCCACCAACACCCAGTGACGATTATCTGAACCGGTCCTGCGTCGACTGGTGCCACGGTGCGGTACGCGTCGCCACTGGGGAGACAAAGGCGGCCGGGCGTGGTGTACCGGCCTTCGTCGGCGCTGCTCGCTGACAGCAATTTGCCCACAACAGCCCGTTGAGCCTACACGGGCGGGCACCTTTGTCTCTGTTGCCCCGCAGGGTGTCGAGGGTCAACACCACCCCACCGCACCCCACCAAAATAATGGCGCAGCCTCAAGTGAAGAGGATTTGCTGCATCGGAGCGGGCTACGTGGGGGGCCCAACGTGCAGCGTCATCGCACACATGTGCCCACACGTTACCGTCACCGTCGTCGACCTCAACGCTTCGCGCATCGACGCCTGGAACTCCGACAGCCTCCCCATCTACGAGGTGCGCGCCCGAAACGTCGGGCCCGCCCGCCCGCCCGCGCGCGCCCCTAAACGGCGTGGCAGCTTCGGCGTCAGCGGTCGGCGGCGGGTCGCGTTTCCGTTCGCGCGACGCAGCCATCGCGAGCCGGCCGTGTTGGGTGGTGTGCGGGACGTGTGTGTCTACGCGATAGAACCACCACCACCCCCCCCGTACACCACCTCCCCCCCCCCCCCCCCAAATAATAAAACTCTGATGGATTAACAAGAAACTCCGCGGTCAACAACCCTAGACTCTAAATCCTAAACCATAATCTTAAATCCTAACCTCTAACCCTAACCTCTAACCCTAAACCATAACTTTAAACCCTAACCTCTAACCTTACATTATAACCTTAAATTATAACCTTAAACCCTAACCTCTAACCCTAACCTCTAACCCTAACCTTAAATGATAACCTTAAACCCTAACTCTCGACCTAACCTCTAACCTTAAACCCTAACCTCTAACCCTAAACCATAACCTTAAACCCTAACCTCTAACCTTAAATTATAACCTTAAACCCTAACCTCTAACCCTAACCTCTAACCCTAACCTCTAACCCTAACCTTAAATGATAACCTTAAACCCTAAACTCTAACCCTAACTCTCAACCTAACCTCTAACCTTAAACCCGAACCCCTAACCCTAACCTCTAACCCTAAACCATAACCTTAAACCATAACCTCTAAACCTAACCTCTAACCTTAAATTATAACCTTAAATCCTACCCTCTAACCCTGACCTCTAGCCCTAAACCCTAACCTCTAGCCTTAAACCCTAACCTCTAATCCTAACCTCTAAACCCGAACCCTAACCACTGACCTCTAACCCTAACCTCCGACCCCTGACCCCACGCCGCGTGCCAGCCGGGCTTGCAGCAGGTGGTGGAGTCGTGCCGGGGCAGGAACTTGTTCTTCTCCGTGGACGTCGACTCGGCCATCCGTGACGCCGACCTCATCTTCATCTCGGTGAGAGGCGCCGCCGGCGTGGCGGTGACGCCGCGGGGAGGGCGGTCAGGGGGTAGCGGTCACCGTGGTGCAGCTGCGGCGGCGTCACCGAGGCCATCACCACCACCTTCATCATCATCACCATCATCATCATCACCACCACCTCTATCATCATCACCACCACCATCACCATCATCATCACCACCACCACCTCTATCACCACCATCATCATCACCACCACCACCACCTCTATCACCACCATCACCACCACCACCACCACCACCATCATCATCGTCATCACCACCACCACCACCATCACCACCACCATCACCACCACCACCATCACCACCACCACCGCCACCATCATCATCACCACCACCACCATCATCACCACCACCACCATCACCACCACCACCATCACCACCACCACCACCATCATCATCGTCATCATCACCACTATCACCACCATTACCACCACCACCACCACCGCCACCACCACCATCACCACCACCACCATCACCATAACCATCACCACCATTATAACGCGCGCCACATCGACCGATGAAACCCTCACCGCTACCCCCTCCCCCCTCCAGGTGAACACTCCCACCAAGACATTCGGCGTGGGCAAGGGCCGTGCGGCCGACCTGAAGCACATTGAGTCGTGTGCGCGTCGCATCGTGGAGAGCGCCGGCGCGGGCCTCAAGGTGGTGGTGGAGAAGAGCACGGTGCCCGTCAGGGCCGCCGAGAGCATCAAGAGAATCTTCGACTCCAACCCCAAGCCACAGCTGCAGCTGCAGGTGAGCCACGCAGCCACACGGGCCACCGACCACGACGATGGTGACCATGGTGGTGACGATGGTGGTGACGATGATGATGATGATGGCGACGATGATAATGACGACGATGATGACGGTGGTGATGACGATGGTGACGATGACGACGATGGTGGTGACGATGATAACGATGATGGCGACGATGATAATGACGAAGATGATGACGGTGGTGATGACGATGGTGACGATAACGATGATGACGATGATGATGACGAGGATGATGATGATGGTGACCATGATGACGATGATGACGATGATGATGGTGATGATGATGACGATGATGAGAACGATGATGGCGACGATGATAATGACGATGATGATGACGGTGGTGATGACGATGGTGACGATGACGACGATGATGGTGACGATGATGGTGACGATGATAACGATGATAACGATGATGTTGACGATGATAACGATGATGGCGACGATGATAATGACGACGATGATGACTGTGGTGATGACGATGATGACGATGATGATGATGACGATGACGAGGATGATGATGGTGACCATGATGACGATGATGACGATGATGATGACGGTGATGATGATGATGACGATGATGACAATGATGATGGCGACGATGATAATGACGACGATGATGACGGTGGTGATGACGATGACGACGATGATGGTGACGATGATAACGATGATGTTGACGATGATAATGATGATGGCGACGATGATAATGACGACGATGATGACGGTGGTGATGACGATGGTGACGATGACGACGATGATGGTGACGATGATAACGATGATGGCGACGATGATAATGACGACGATGATGACGGTGGTGATGACGATGGTGACGATGATGACAATGATGATGGCGACGATGATAATGACGACGATGATGACGGTGGTGATGACGATGGTGACGATGATGACAACGATGATGGCGACGATGATAATGACGACGATGATGACGGTGGTGATGACGATGGTGACGACGATGACAACGATGATGGCGACGATAACGATGATGGTGACGATGACGACGAGGATGATGACGACGATGATGACGAGGATGATGACGGTGGTGGTGATGACGATGGTGACGATGATCGCGACGACGACGACGGCGGCAGGTCCTCTCCAACCCCGAGTTCCTGGCCGAGGGGACGGCCATCAGGGACCTCAAGAACCCGGACCGCGTGCTCATCGGTGGCGAGGAGACCCCCGAGGGACACGCGGCGGTGGCGGCGCTCAGCGAAGTCTACGCCACCTGGGTGCCCCGCGAGAGAATCATCACCACCAACACGTGGTCGTCAGAGCTATCCAAACTCGTGAGTGGGCCTCTCACTCCCCTCCCTCCCTCACCTCCATCCCTCTCCACCCTCCCTCCCCCTCCCCTCCCTCCCTCCCTCCCTCCCTCCCTCCCTCCCTCCCTCCCTCCCTCCCTCCCTCCTTCCCTCCCTCCCCCTCCTCCCTCCCTCCCTCCTTCCCTCCCTCCCTCCCTCTCCTCCCTCCCTCCTCACAGCTTTGAGTCACCTTGCGCTGCACAGGGACAGCTGCCACTGGGGGTGCCCCCTAGGCTAGACCACACAGCAGCAGCATCACCCCCTACTGACAGACTGACGCACAGGGACAGCTGCTACTGGGGGTGCCCCCTAGGCTAGACCACACAGCAGCAGCAACATCGCCACCCTACTGACAGACTAACGCACAGGGACAGCTGCCACTGGGGGTGCCCCTAGGCTAGACCACACAGCACCAACATCTCCACCCTACTGGCAGACTGAAGCACAGGGGCAGCTTCCACTAGGGGATCCCCTAGGCTAGACCACAAAGCAGCAACATCGCCACCCTACTGGCAGACTGACGCACAGGGACAGCTGCCACTGGGGGTGCCCCTTAGGCTAGACCACACAGCAGCAGCAACATCTCCACCCTACTGACAGACTGACACACAGGGACAGCTGCCACTGGGGGTGCCCCCTAGGCTAGACCACACAGCAGCAGCAACATCTCCACCCTACTGACAGACTAACACACAGGGACAGCTGCCACTGGGGGTGCCCCTTAGGCTAGACCACACAGCAGCAACATCTCCACCCTACTGGCAGACTGACACACAGGGACAGCTGCCACTGGGGGTGCCCCCCTAGGCTAGACCACACAGCAGCAACAACATCTCCACCCTACTGGCAGACTGACGCACAGGGACAGCTGCCACTGGGGGTGCCCCTAGGCTAGACCACACAGCAGCAGCAACATCTCCACCCTACTGGCAGACTGACGCACAGGGACAGCTGCCACTGGGGGTGCCCCCTTAGGCTAGACCACACAGCAGCAGCAACATCTCCACCCTACTGGCATACTAACACACAGGGACAGCTGCCACTGGGGGTGCCCCTAGGCTAGACCACACAGCAGCAACAACATCTCCACCCTACTGGCAGACTGACACACAGGGACAGCTGCCACTGGGGGTGCCCCCCTAGGCTAGACCACACAGCAGCAACATCCCCACCCTACTGGCATACTAACACACAGGGACAGCTGCCACTGGGGGTGCCCCTTAGGCTAGACCACACAGCAAGCAGCGATGACATCGCCCCCAACCACCACCGTCACGTGTCCCGCCACCTCCCCCCAGGCTGCCAACGCGTTCCTGGCGCAGCGCATAAGCAGCATCAACTCGATCAGCGCGGTGTGCGAGGCGACGGGCGCTGACGTGGAGCAGGTGGCGCACGCCATCGGCACCGATCGGCGCATCGGTGACAAGTTCCTCAAGGCCAGCGTCGGTGAGCCGCCGTCACCGCCGTCACCGTCACCGCAGTCACAGCCGCAGCCGCAGCCGCCGCCGCGTGGTTAATGTTGTCGGGGCGCCGCCCGCGGTGGCTGGGAGATGTTAACTACCTCGCCTGGTACGCAGGAGGTCGCGGGTTCGATCCCGAGCCCAACGACGCCTGCTGCTGTATATTTGGAGTTTGCGTGTCTCTCTCTCTCTCTCTCCCCGTGGTGAGATGTTAACTACCTCGCCTGGTCTATAGGAGGTCATGGGTTCAATCCCGACCCTGACACCTGCTGCTGTATATTTGGAGTTTGCGTGTCTCTCTCTCTCCGTGATGAGATGTTAACTACCTCGCCTGGTCTACAGGAGGTCGTGAATTTGATCCTGACCCTGACGCCTGCTGCTGTATATTTGGAGCTTGCGTGTCTCTCTCTCTCCCCGTGGTGAGATGTTAACTACCTCGCCTGGTCTACAGGAGGTCGTGGGGTCAATCCTGACCCTGACGCCTGCTGCTGTATATTTGGAGTTTGCGTCTCTCTCTCTCTCTTCGTGGTCGCGTGGATCTCTCTCTCCGTGTCCTCCGGCTTTCCCCCACCCCCCTCCACCCCCTCCACGTTTTAGAAATCGACGTCTCTCCGCGTTTTGAATATTTGGCTTGCTGCTGTACATCTCTAAGCGACGACGACGACGACGACGAGAAGCCGCCACACTTGGTTATCATTTGTGATGGGCAGGGTCGCTTCTGACGAAATAGCTACGCGCGATAGCTCAGCGGGGGAACTCGCAACCTGCTAAGGAAGAAGGCCAACTGGAGGTGGACAGCTCCGTTGGCAGAAGCGACCCAGCCACCACAAGTTTATCTTATTATAGCTCAACAAAGCAGCTTCTCGCCATCATCATCATCACCACCACCACCACGTGGGAATTTATAGCAGTGACACTCACTCACACACCCACTCCTCCACTCACTCACTACTCACCTGGTGAGTTAGAGAGCGACACTCACTCCACTCCACTCACTACTCACCTGGTGAGTTAGAGAGCGACTCACTCACCCACTCCACTCACTACTCACCTGGTGAGTTAGAGAGCGACTCACTCACCCACTCCACTCACTCACTACTCACCTGGTGAGTTAGAGAGCGACTCTCACCCACTCCACTCACTACTCACCTGGTGAGTAAGAGAGAGAGTCACTCTTTACTCCACTCACTCACTACTCACCTGGTGAGTTAGAGAACGACACTCACCCACTCCACTCACTACTCACCTGGTGAGTTAGAGAGCGACTCTCACTCACCCCACTCACTCACCGGGCTCGCGACCCCCCTACCTCCCGACCCCCGCGACCCCGCGACCCTGCGACCCCGCGACCTCTTCTTACCCTCGAATCCCCTCCGGGGCGTCTGTCTGCAGGCTTCGGAGGCAGCTGCTTCCAGAAGGACGTGCTTAACCTCGTCTACCTCTGCGAGGCGCTCAACCTGCCCGACGTCGCCAACTACTGGCAGCAGGTGACGGTGACGGTGGTAGTGGTGGTGGTGACGGTGGTGGTGGTGGTGACGGTGGTGGTGGCGGTAATGGTGTCGGCGGTAGCGGTGGTGGCAGTAGCAATGGTGGTGGCGGTGGTAGCAGTGGTGGAAGTAGCGGCGGTGGTGGTAGTGGAAGCGGTAATGATGGTGGTGGTAGCGGTAATGGTGGCGGTGGTGGTGGTGGCGGTGGTGGTGGCGATGGCGGTAGCGGTAATGGTGGTGGCGGTGGTGGTGGGAGTGGTAGCGGTAGTGGTGGTGGTGGCAGCAGTGGTGGAGGTGAATGGCAGCCGCTTGCTGTTTAACGTGTAGTAGTAGTAGTGTAGTAGAGTTGTAGTAGTGTAGTAGTAGTGTGGTAGTGTAGTAGTAGTGTAGTAGTAGTAGGAGGCTTTCGCGACCACTATTATTGGCAACAAGAGGTTTTTTTGTTTGTTTGGGGTGAGATCACGTGAATGTAAATGTGTGTGTCGCTAAAGCCGCCACCACCATCAACCACCCGGACAGGGCCAATGAGTAAGGTGGTGTTGGAGAGTGAACCCACAACAACGTTTCACCATTCGAGTAGCCGTGACGTTTCGTCGGTAATTACAACAACCACCACCACCACAACAACAACCAGCATCATCAGGCGAGAGCCAGAGTTGTGATCCTCCTCCTGTTTCGGTCTTAATGTTGATGTTGTTGTTGTTGTGTGCATCTCTCTTTTTCTATCTCTCTGTTTCTGTCTCTCTGTCTGTCTATCTGTCTGTCTCTCTCTGTCTCTCTGTCTGTCTCTCTATCTCTCACTGTCTCTCTCACTGTCTCTCTGTCTGTCTCTCTGTTTCTCTGTCTCTCTGTCTGTCTCACTGTCTCTCTGTTTCTCTGTCTCTCTCTGTCTCACTGTCTCTCTGTCTGTCTGTCTCTGTCTCTCTGTCTTTGTCTGTCTCTCTCTCTGTCTGTCTCTCACTGTCTCTCTCTGTCTATCTCTCTCTGTCTCTCTCACTGTCTCTCTGTCTGTCTCTCTCTGTCTCTCTCACTGTCTGTCTGTCTCTCTCTCTGTCTCTCTCTGTCTCTCTGTCTCTCTCTCTCTGTCTCACTTTCTGTCTCACTCCGCCTCCCCCGCGGCCGCATCCCACGGCTCCAGGTGATCGAGATCAACGACTACCAGCGGCGGCGTTTCGCCAACCGCATCATCGGCTGCCTCTTCAACACCGTGACGGGCAAGCGGCTCGGCATCCTAGGCTTCGCCTTCAAGAAGGACACGGGAGACACCAGGTTGATGGCTGCCTCTCACTCGATGTCTCCGCCTCTCTCCGTCTCTCTCCGTGTGTATCTTGTGGCGCCACGGTGGCCAGGAGATGTTGGCTACCTCGCCTGGTACGCAGGAGGTCGTGGGTTCGATCCCGACCCTGACGAAGCCTGCTGCTGTATATTTGGAGTTTGCGTGTCTCTCTCTCTTTCTCCCGTGGTGAGATGTTGACTACCTCGCCTGGTCTACAGGAGGTCGTGGGTTCGATCCCGACTCTGACGCCTGCTATATATTTGGAGTTTGCGTCTCTCTCTCTCGTGGTGAGATGTTAACTACCTCGCCTGGTACACAGGAGGTCGTGGGTTCGATCCCGACCCGGACTGCTGTACATTTGGAGTTTGCGTGTCTCTCTCTCTCTCCTCCCGTCTGTCTCACCTCTCTGTTTCTCTCCATGTTCATCTCTCTCTCTAACTCTGTATCTCTCTCCATCTCTCTCACCTCTCCGTGTCGTATCTCTCCATCTCTCGTGGTGGTGATGGTGGTGGGGTGGTGGTGGTGGTGGTGGGGGTGCAGGGGGTGGTGGTGACACATGCGAACTCCGTTTGTCTCACCCAGGGAGTCATCCAGCATCTACATCTGCCAGCACCTGATGGACGAGGGAGCCATGCTGCAGATCTATGACCCCAAGGTGAAGAAGGACCAGATGATCCTGGACCTTTCTCAGCCCAGCATCTCCGGGGATGATCCAGACAGAGGTGGGGGTGGTGGTGCTCTATTATAATAATAATATCATCATAATCAGCAGCAAGAACAGCTGTCCGTCGATAATATGGGTACGAACCTCCTGGTTACACCACCAGCCCACAGGGGATTATTGTGTCTGTCCGTCGTGCACCCAAAAACGGGAGGGTGGAGAGGGGAGGGTGGGGAGGGGCTGGGTGGGGAGGGTGGGGAGGGGCTGGTCACCCCGTGGTGCCCTTATAAAACTCAACGTTTAACCTACTCACGCCGGCTTGTGCCCGCCCTCAAGGTGGGGCATCTTTGCGTAATACACCACGTGGTGCCGCCCGTTGACCCTGGCCATTGACCGAGCAACCCAACGTTCCTACCAGCTCCCTCCGCAGGAGAATGTGTTCTCATCAGCAACAGCATCACAAAGAGAGGCATGAGAGAGGAGACACCAGAACTGTAAGCCGACTGCTGTTGTGACCGCCACTGTGACCTCTGACCCATGTGGCTGACCTCTGACCCGCGCGTGACCTTGTTCGTTTCAGTGGCCAGGTTGGTGACGGTGACCTCTGACCCGTACGAGGCCTGCAAGGGCACCCACGCCATCGTCATCTGCACCGAGTGGGACCTGTTCGGGGTGAGTGGCGCGCAGACGTCATCATCGTCGTCAGTACGATCGTCTTCATCGTCACAAACGTCATCGTCGTCGATGTCAGCACGATCACCGTCATTACGATCATCACCGTCAGCACAATAATCACCGTCAGCACGATCATCACCATCATCACGATCATTGTCGTCATCGTCGTCGGCACGATCATCACCGTCATTACAATCATCGTCATCATCACCGTCCGCACGATCATCACTGTTAGCACAGTCATTGTTGTCATCATCGTCAGCACGATCATCACCGTCATTACGATCATCACCGTCACTACTATCATCACCGTCAGCACGATCATTGTCGTCATCGTCATCAGCACGATCATCACCGTCATTACAATCATTGTCATCATCACCGTCCGCATGATCATCACCGTCAGCACAGTCATTGTCATCGTTGTCCGCACGATCATCATCATCGTCACGCTCGTCGTCATCGTTGTCGTCATCGTCGTCATCGCCATCACAATCGTCATCATCGTCATCACGATCGTCGTCATCATCGTGATCACGATCATCGTCATCACAATCATCGTCATCACAATCATCGTTTTCATGATCGTCGCCGTCGTCACGATCATCGTCGTCGTCATCGTCATCACGTTCACCATCATCTTCACGATTATCGTCGTCATCGTCATCACGATCATCGTCGTCACGATCATCGGCCTCGTTGTCGTCGTCGGTGACGCTCGAACCGCTGCGCGTCGCTAGGAGCTGGACTACGCGAGGATCTACGCCGAGATGCTGAAGCCAGCATTCATCTTCGACGGGCGCAGGGTCCTGGACAAACTCCACGTGACGCTGCAGCGCATCGGCTTCCAGGTGCCCGCAGCAACACGTCACGTGACAGCAAGCCACCCACCACCCCCCCCCACCCCCCCCCCACCCCCCCGGCAATCACGATTTACCCAAAGCAATCCGATTACAAACGTAATCCGATAACGTTCGTACGTGTGTGTGTGTGTTGGACTTCTTTCGCGCTCTGTTCGTAGCAGACCGTTCTCGCGGCGATTACAAAAGTAATCCGATTACCCAAGCGATCAGATTACAAAAGTAATCCGCAAAAGTAATCCGATGCTAGGAACCACGGCGAACCCGGGTTCGATTCCCGCTCACGGCCACCAACACCGGTGACGATTGTCTGAACCGGTCCTGGGCCTCCGCTAGGTCGGCTCGGCCTCAAACGAGCACCTGGCGCGGTGTGTGTAGTAAACGTCGCCGCTGGGGAGAGACAAAGGCGGCCGGGCGCGGTTGCTGGCCACCCACCCCCTCCGTGCGCCGTGCCGACCTTCACAGGTGCCGCTCGCCAACAGCGCTTGCCCCTACGGCCTGCTACAGGCTACACGTTGGAGGGGGGAAGCTTCGTCCTTTGCGTGCCGAACTTATTTCGCGCCCGCTACAGGCGCTCCGATGGACCCGAGCCGGCGATCCCCGATGGCCACGTGGGCGGAGGGGTGCCCAGCGTGCCGGCGACTCACCGCCCCCTCCCCCCCTCCCCCCCACCGCTCGCCCCACGCAGGTGGAGACGATCGGCAAGAAGGTGGTGCTGGATTCGATCCCCTTCACTCCCTCGACGCAGCCCAAGGTGCTGGACTTCCAGATGTCACGCAAGAACAGCAGCGCCATCTGAGCTGCCAGGGACGGCGATCGCAAATCACTCCCCCCACCCCCCCCACCACCCCCACGGTACCCCATCACGTTTGCTAGATTACAGGCAGACACGTGCACCGCTGTGTCGAGATGTTGACTTCCTCGCCTGGTACGCAGGAGGTCGTGGGTTCGATCCCGACCCTGACGACGCCTGCTGCTGTATATTTGGAGTTTGCGTGTCTCTCTCTCTCCGTGGTGAGATGTTGACTACCTCACCTGGTACGCAGGAGGTCGTGGGTTCGATACCGACCCTGATGACGCCTGCTGCTGCTGTATATTTGCAGTTTGCATGTCTCTCTCTGCCCCCGTGGTCGCGTGGATTTTTCTCCGGGTCCTCCGGTTTTTCCCTCCACATTTAGAATCAACATCTCGCGTTTAGAGTGATTTGGCCGTTGCTATAAATTCCCACGTGATGATGATGAGTCACTTCGTTGAGCAATCATTTGTGACGGCCAGGGTCGCTACTGAAAAAGAGCTACTCAGCACCTCAGTGGGACCTTACCTGGTTAAAATAAAAAAAGCATATTTTTGTTCCAGTGTTTATAATTCACGCGACACCCGATTTTATATATTTTTTGTCGTAAAACATTCAAGGCTGGGGTGATGCAATCTACTTTCGATATGAACGCGAGAGAATAACACGGTTTCATTCTGGAATCGTTCCACAATTCTGGGTTTGCCATTAAATTCAATCAAACGATTATCATTTTTTTTTTACACGCTGTCATTTAACTCACTCTGTCTGTTGTTGTTGTATCCTCAAATGTTGTAACTCAATGTTAACCCACTTCCCAATGTGGTATCGACTGCCAACTTTGTATAGTTATGTCACACTGATGACAATACTATATTCTATCATAAAAAATAAAATAAAATATTTTTAAACATTATTTTTTATACGTTATGTTTCGGCTTGGGTCTAATTGCCCACGCTCAACTGACGTTGGCTGTAATTCACCACGGGTCCCTTACGTTGTGGCAAGCTTCGGGGCTACTTCCTGGAGTCGTGGAGTTCTTCCATTACTAGTACGGTACATTTTATCAAAGCGTGTTTTATAAAAAAGTTTACAAAAAAATATTACTTATTCCCTTTCCCCGTTGAACAATCGTGGGTGAATTATAGAGTTGCTGCGAGGGGGTTACGTTCATTAGGGTGGTTCAAGTTTTGGGGGTTTATTTTTGCGGAACCGGCAACCGCGCGTGGGACAAAACCGGATAAAAAATTGTTCCGCACATTTAGAAATGTGTTCGACTCCCTCGCCTGCCGTGCAGGAGCGCGTGGGTTCGATCCAGACCCTGACGACGCCTGCTGTATATTTGTCGTGCCTCTCTCTCTCTCTCTTCCCGTGGTCGCGTGGATCTTTCTCCGGCTCCTCCGGTTGTTCCCTTCATTTACAATCGACATCACGCGTTCAGAGTATTTGGCTGCTATACATTTCCACGTGGTGATGGTGATGATGATGGTGATGATAAGCCACTTCGTTGGGCTATCGTTTGCGGTGGGGTCGCTTCGTAAAAAAACGAGCTTACACAGCCGAGTGAGGGCCTTACCTGCTGAAATAAAAAAAAAGTTAAGTTTATGTACACATGTATGTTGAGACTTCTTTTGCAACCAACATAGCCAGCTGTGCTCATCGGAGGTGCGGTGGCGATGGTGGTGGGTGTGGTGGTGTGGTGGTTGTGGTGGTGAGGGTGATGATGGTGATAGTGGTGATGGTGGTGATGGTGGTGATAGTGGTGATGGTGGTGGGTGTGGTGGTTGTGGTGGTGAGGGTGATGGCGGTGATGATGGTGATAGTGGTGATGGTGGTAGTGGTGATTATGGTGGTGGGTGTGGTGGTTGTGGTGGTGAGGGTGATGGCGGTGATGGTAGTGGTGATGATGGTGGTAGTGGTGATTATGGTGGTTGTGGTGGTGAGGTGATAGTGGTGATGATGGTGATAGTGGTGATGGTGGTGGGTGTGGTGATGTGGTGGTTGTGGTGGTGAGGGAGATGGCGGTGATGATGGTGATAGTGGTGATGATGGTAGTGGTGATTATGGTGGTGGTGGTGGGTGTGATGGTTGTGGTGGTGAGGGTGATGGCGGTGATGATGGTGGTGGTGGTGGTGAGGGTGATAGTGGTGATGATGGTGATAGTGGTGATGATGGTAGTGGTGATGGTGGTGGTTGTGGTGAGGGTGATGGCGGTGATGATGGTAGTGGTGATGATGGTAGTGGTGATGATGGTTGTGGTGGTGAGAGTGATAGCGGTGATGATGGTAGTGGTGATGATGGTAGTGATGATGGCAGTGGTGATGATGGTGGTTGTGGTGGTTGTGGTGGTGAGGGTGATAGCGGTGATGATGGTAGTGGTGATGATGGTGGTTGTGGTGATGAGAGTGATAGCGGTGATGATGGCGATAGCGGTGGTGGTTGTTGTGGCGAGGGTGATAGTCGTGGTGGTGGTTGTCGTGATGGTGAGTGGTGGTGGTTGTCGTGGTGAGGATGATAGTGGTGGTTGTTGTGGTGGTCGTCATGGTAAGGGTGAGTGGTGGTGTTCGTGGTGGTTGTCATGGTGATAGCGGCTGTGGTGAGCGCGGTGATGCTTACGGTTGTCATGGTGACAGGGCCCAAATGATCGACCCTAGCACAAGGAGGCCGCTTCTGCCTTCAGCTTTGCTTTCTTTTCAATCTTTTTTTCGTTGTAAACTTTGCATCTCCGTTCTTAAACCGCCCTCCCGAGTGTTTTAAGGAGCAAACACCCGCCGCCGCCGCCGAAGAGGGCGCCCCACCTCCGACAGCGACTGAAGCGACGGCCGCGATGTGCCTCGTCCGGGAAGGGTCTTCGTCTCGGGGAGCCACGCTGCTCGCCCCACGGAACAGGCGGAGACCCCGAAGCAGCGGCGACGAATCTCCCGCGCGTCCGACTCATGAACGGTGCGTGGCCACGCCCCCTGGTCCCGTGGCCACGCCCCCTGGTCCCGTGGCCACGCCCCCTGGTCCCGTGGCCACGCCCCCGGTCCCGTGGCCACGCCCCTGGTCCCGTGGCCACGCCCCCAGCCCCGTGGCCACGCCCCCGGTCCCGTGGCCACGCCCCTATTCCCCGATCGTTCCCGTTGACACCAGTCCACTCGCACTGCAGGTTGACTCCGTGTCATTACTTCGCCTGGCCACGCCCCCTGACCACGCCCCCGGTCCCGTGGCCACGCCCCTGGTCCCGTGGCCACGCCCCTGGTCCCGTGGCCACGCCCCCTGCCCTGTGTCCACGCCCCTATGACCGATCCTCCTCGGTGCCACGAGTCCACTCGCACTGCAGTTCGACTCCACCGTGTCATGACATCACCTGGCCACGCCCCCTGTCTGGTGACCACGCCCCCTGCCCCGTGGCCACGCCCCTATTCCCGATTATTTTCGGTGACACCAGTCCACTCGCCCTGCAGGTTGACTCCACTGTCTGTACAGAACGACCTCCCGAGTCAACGGTTACACACGAGACAAAGGTCCCCCGTACAGCCTTCAACAGACTTTTGGGACAGGTGCCTCGAAGCGAGCGTTCGCCCGGGAACACACCGGCGACGTCGATGTATCAACCAACTCGTTCATCAACTCAAACCGTGAACTTGTTCCATTTATTCACTTGCTCTTTGAGAACTCCATCTCGTGCGCACATTCCCGCACACAAAAGGCAACGATCCCCCACCCCCCCCCGTATAGCCTTCAACAGACTGCTGGGCCGAGTGCTGTTAAGCGGCGAGTAGCAGCGCCTATGAGGGCCGTCACCGTGGCCACGAGGGGGGTGGGGGTGGGTGGCCAGCACCACGGCACGCGCCACCTTTGTCTCCCCAGTGGCGATGTCCACCACACTCATTCGAGGCCGAGTCGACCCAGGAGGGAGGCCCCGGGGACCGCTTAAAATTATCCGCCGTGAGCGGGGAACCGAACTCGGGGCGTCTCCGCCGGGTACGTGCGGCAGGCGAGATGTTAACTACCTCGCCTGGTGTACAGGAGGTCGCTAGCGGAAGGGGGGGGGGGGGGGTGGGGAGCGACCGGCGGATTCGGCGCCGCGGCCGAGTTCGGAGCTTCGTCAACGGGGCTCCGAACTCGGCAGTGGTGACGGCGCTGGCTTCCGAAACCTCTCCACGAAGTCCTCCAGCGCGAGGACTTCCCCGCAGCCGACGGCTGGGTCCATGCTCACGAAGTCGTCTAGGTTCATGACGCAGCCTGCGGGGGAAAACCACACGGTGCGGGGATGAAGACCGCGGCGATTCGTCAAGGAAGGGGGGCGCGTTGGCGGATAACGAAGACAAATATCCCCCGCGTAGCCTGAACAGACCCTTCGTAGGCCGCTCCGGCCTACGAAGGCCGGAGCGGCGCACGAGGTGGGTGGCCAGCGCCACGCCCGGCCGCCTTTGTCTCCCCGGTGGCGATGTGTTTTTTTACACGCCAGGACCGGTTCAGATAATCCGTCACTGGCATTGGCCGTGAGCGGGAATCGAACGTGGGTCGCCGGGTTCGTAGCGCAGCGTAGCGCTAACCGCTGCACCACCGCTCCCACATAGCGTACAGACGCACCCACGGACAACCATACCAGTTTTTATTTTTTTGATTTAAAGCTTTCGTGACTGCAGGGATTTATATTCTTGGTTCTTTCGGTAAAGTCACCACGTAGAAGGGAAACAATAAAATAATAAAAATATAAAACAATAAAATTATCACGACGTTTCGACTGCAACACAAGCAATCATCATCAGGTGTGAAAACCACAGCAAGAAAATTTGATTTTTTTTTTCAAGTTCTACGTAACCATACCAGTACCCGCCATTCGACACTGAGTGACGGTGACATCACCACGGCGCCTGTGACAGGCCCGGCACACGCTACACACATGCTACTCACACACACGCTACTCAAACACACGCTACACACACACACGCTACACACACGCTACTCACACACACGCTACACACACGCCAAACACACACACGCTACACACACGCTACTCACACACGCTACACACACACACGCTACACACACACGCTACACACGCGCTACTCACACACACGCTACACACACGCCAAACACACACACGCTACACACACGCCAAACACACACACGCTACACACACGCTACTCACACACACGCTACACACACGCACGCTACACACACACACGCTACTCACACACACGCTACTCACACACGCTACACACACACACGCTACACACACGTACGCTACTCACACACACGCTACTCACACACGCTACACACACACACGCTACTCACACGCACGCTACTCACACGCACGCTACTCACACACACGCTACACACACGCTACTCACACGCACGCTACACACACACACGCTACACACACGCACGCTACTCACACGCACGCTACACACACACACGTTACACACACGCGCTACTCACACACGCACGCTACACACACGCACGCTACACACACACGCTACACACACACACGCTACACACACACTACACACACACACGCTACTCACACACACACTACACACACACGCACGCTACTCACACGCACGCTACACACACACGCTACACACACACACGCTACACACACGCACGCTACACACACGCTACTCACACACACACTACACACACACGCACGCTACACGCTACACACACACGCTACACACACGCACGCTACTCACACACGCTACTCACACACGCTACACACACGCACGCTACTCACACGCTACTCACACACACTACTCACACACACGCTACTCACACGCTACACACACACGCTACTCACACACGCGCGCTACACACACGCACGCTACACACACGCACGCTACTCACACGCACGCTACACACACACGCTACTCACACGCACGCTACTCACACGCACGCTACACACACACGCTACTCACACGCACGCTACTCACACGCACGCTACACACACGCACGCTACACACACGCACGCTACACACACATGCTACACACACGCACGCTACACACACACGCTACTCACACACACGCTACACACACACACGCTACACACACGTACGCTACACACACGCACGACTCACACACACGCTACTCACACACACTCTACACACACACACTCTACACACACACACGCTACTCACACACACTCTACACACACGCACGCTACACACACGCACGCTACACACACACGCTACACACACACTCTACTCACACACACGCTACTCACACACACGCTACACACACTCTACTCACACACACGCTACACACACACGCTACTCACACACACGCTACTCACACACACTACACACACGCACGCTACACACGCACGCTACACACACACGCTACACACACGCACGCTACTCACACACACGCTACTCACACGCACGCTACACACACACACTCTACTCACACGCACGCTACACACACACACGCTACTCACACGCACGCTACTCACACGCACGCTACTCACACGCACGCTACTCACACACACGCTACACACACACGCTACTCACACGCACACTACACACACATGCTACTCACACACACTACTCACACACGCTACACACACACGCTACACACACACGCTCTACTCACACACATGCATAGCGCAGCGCGCTAAACCCTGCACTACGGCTGCCCTATTGGCGGCCAACGGCACTGCTGCCACGCACACTTTGTATGCGTGTGTAGCGACACAGAATCGGTCACGTGGCAGCATAGCGCTAGCTTCTGGCAGGGAAAGGGGCTCTGCAGCTCGCAGCAGCTCTGACAGCAGTCACGTGATAGACCAGAGAGGGATGTAGGGTAAAGGTCACGGAAGGGGCACGTCGATAACCCGCGAGTGCGTTCCAGAAGGGGGCGTGGCCGGGGGCGTGGCCGGGGGGCGTGGCCAGGCTGACAGTATAAGAGGGGTCCCCGGGCGGGAACGTCGGGGCTGTCGTGTGGAGCGGGATCCCCGTCGCGCTGCTGCCGGGGTCTTCACCGGCTGTCCTGACTGGTAACCGTAGCTACCAAGTGTTACCTGTTAAGGCCGTTTCACAAACAAGAGTGCCTCTTCCCCCTAGTGCCTCTGAGTCAGTCACTACACATGTGTGAGATGGACTATTAACAATTTACTCCTATTCATCCAGGGGCGCGACGCGGGAGAGATGTAGGAGCCGCATTTGGCAGGGTGTCCTGCTGCTGCTGCTGCTGCTCGTGTTTGTATCGTGATTTGTTCGTAACGTTTTCAGCCGATTAATGTCCAGGTTACGATCGCTGAACTTCTTTCGCGCCGAACGTGGCCGAACGCGCTAATCGGAAGGGCAACAGACTCAAGGACAAAAAAAATAAATGGGTTTGTCAATCTTCTTTGGTTCTTTCGGTAAAGTCACGTAGAATGAGAATAAAATAATAAATTGATAAAATAACACAATAACATTCTCACGACGTTTCGGCCACAACACAAGCGGCCTTCATCAGGTGAAGGGACGAGACTGTCTGGTAGGACAGAGCTGGAGTGAAAGAGCCACGTTCAGATCACGGCCTTTAAGCTGTGTGAGAAGAAACAGCGCCTTGACAAAGGAATTAGCATATAATTTAGCATTGAAATAGCTGAGTGATTAGCTTGTGACTTGTCACAGAAATAGCTATGTTAAAAGTTAAAGCATACACATCCGCAGAGGCACCCCTTGACAAAGGAATTAGCATAGAATTTAGCATTGAAATAGCTGAGTGGTTAGCTTGTAACTGGTCACAGAAATAGCTACGTTAAAGTCAGAGCATACACATTCACCGAGGCACTTAGTACAAATCAAACAGGAGAATTTAGCATTGAAATAACTGAGTGATTAGCTAGTGACTGGTCACAGAAATGACTATGTTGAAGTCAAGGCCTACACATCTGATGATGATTTAATGATGATGATTTAGATGATTTAAAGGTGCATTGCTCCCTCCCCCCACTACTCCCCCCCCCCCCACTACCACCTCCCTCCACCCCACCACCGCCCCCCCACCACTTCCCCCCCCCACCTTCGGTGCGGATGCACGGGTGTGGTGGGGGTGGCGCCCTCCACTGGCCCAGCTCGTCCTGCATGTGCGAGCGGTCCGACGCGAACGTCCTCATGAACGTGTCGGCAGGCACCACTCGCAGCCTCCTACAGGCCGCAAGGGGGAAGAGGGGCGGGGAGGTGGGCAGGGGGAGATGTTGACTGCCTCGCCTGGTACACAGGAGGTCGTGGGTTCGATCCTGACCCTGACGCCTGCTGCTGTATATTTGGAGTTTACGTGTCTCTCTCTCTCTGTGGTGAGATGTTAACTACCTCGCCTGGTCTACAGGAGGTCGTGGATTCCATCCCGACCCTGACGCCTGCTGCTGCTGTATATTTGGAGTTTGCGTGTCTCTCTCTCCCGTGGTGAGATGTTAACTCCCTCGCCTGGTCTACAGGAGGTCGTGGGTTCAATCACGACCCTGACGATGCCTGCTGCTGTATATGTGGAGTTTGCGTGTCTCTTTCTCCCGTGGTGAGATGTTAACTCCCTCGCCTGGTCTACAGGAGGTCGTGGGTTCGATCCCGACCCTGACGATGCCTGCTGCTGTATATGTGGAGTTTGCGTGTCTCTTTCTCCCGTGGTGAGATGTTGACTCCCTCGCCTGGTCTACAGGAGGTCGTGGGTTCGATCCTGACCCTGACGCCTGCTGTATATTTGGAGTTTGCGTGTCTCTCTCTCTCTCCCGTGGTGAGATGTTAACTACCTCGCATGGTATACAGGAGGTCGTGGGTTCAATCACGACCCTGACGATGCCTGCTGCTGTATATGTGGAGTTTGCGTGTCTCTCTCTCTCTCCCGTGGTGAGATGTTGACTCCCTCGCCTGGTCTACAGGAGGTCGTGGGTTCAATCCCGACCCTGACGCCTGCTGCTGCTGCTGTATATTTGGAGTTTGCGCGTCTCTCTCTCTCTCTCTCTCCGGTCGCAGTGGATTTTTTTTCCCAGGGGCCCTCACGTTTTTCCCCTCAACATTTAGAATCAACGTCACAAGTTTAGAGTATTTCGCTGCTGCTGTACATCTCCTCGGCTCCGCATTCTCCCGTAACCGCTTCAGCTCCATCTCTTCTACCAGCCGCCCGTTGTGCTCGTTTCGCCTAACCCTCTATCCGGCCAAACGGAAGGCGCTTGGGCATGCGGCGGTCACAGATTAGAAAAAGATCCTTTTATAGGCAAGAAAGAAGAAGAAGAAGAGCCGTTCCTTTGGTTTTGTTCAATCTTTGCCGTAACAAAAATTAGCAGGTAAACAAAGGCAAAGATCCCCCCCCCCCCCCGTATAGCCTGCTGGGGCAAGTGCTGCTGTTAGCGAGCGGCACCTGCGATAGGCCGGCACGGCACACGAGGGGGGTGGGTGGCTCAGCACCGCGCCCGGCCGCCTTTGTCTCCCCCAGTGGCGACGTTCACTGCACATCGCACCAGGCAACTCGTTTGAGGCCCGAGCCGATCCTAGGGGGAGGCCCCCCCTGGGACCGGCTCAAGACTAATCGTCACCGGTGCTGCCCCGTGAGCGAGAACGCAAACTGCCGTCTCCGGCGGGTCCGTGGCGCTGCGTGGCGCTGCGTGGCGCTGCGTGGCGCTGCGTGGCGCTGCGTGGCGCTGCGTGGCGCTGCGTGGCGCTGCGTGGCGCTGCGTGGCGCTGCGTGGCGCTGCCCGCTGCTCCCCCGCGCTCGGCAGCGTTGGGGACGGGCACGCTCTTGGGCACGTTCACTTTGACGTCCGGCCCGAGAATGAAAAATGAAAAGGTGCCACGGGCCGACCTGCGGTAGCGACGCTTGAGGTCGCGGTCCGGGCGCAGGGCCTGTGCGGCATAGGAGTCGAGGGTGCATGGGAACGGCAGCGTGGAGTCCAGGTCGTACACGAAGCTGCTGCTGTTGCTGCTGTTGCTGCTGCTGTTGCTGCTGCCATCTTCGGCGTGCTGCAGCAGTAGCAGCACGTGGTAGTCCTAGGTCGGAGGCGCGGTGAAGAGCCGGGCGTACAAAGACAAAGTTCCCCCGTATAGCCTGTGACGGGGGCTTCGGGGCAAGTGCTGTTAGCGAGCAGCACCTGTGAAGGCCGGCACGGCACACGAAGGGGCGGGCGGGCGGCCAGCACCACGCCCGGCCGCCTTTGTCTCCCGAGTGGCATCTATGAATTAAACTCTCAACTATTTTTAAATTTTATTTTACCAGGAAAGGCCCACTGAGCCTATATGTGAGGAAGCCGCTGGGAGCTGTGCACTTTAAAATAATCGACAGTGGAAACTCATTTCTTTAGAACTGCTTTTTGTTGTGTGTAGTTTGTTGCCTCTGGTGAAATGCCAGACGCTTATCAGTTTAACGCGCGTAGGCTTTCGTGACCAACATTACTAATAATGAAGCTTTTGGTTTTCATTTGGGTTAAATCGCGCAAATAAACAGTGCAGACATTTATCAGCAAGGACCCGCACGGGAATATCTTTGCTCCCGATTGGGCCGGTTGGCTACGTACGGTGGGAGAGAAGTTCAACGGACATACAAAACAATCGTCAATCGTCCGGAAACATCTCGGCGTATAAAGGACGCCCCGGCTGCTGCCGCTGCCGCCGCCCTCCCCGCTTGTCTGTGGTTCCTCCTCTCTCTCTCTGTCTCTACGAGAGCGAGCGAATACAGTGCAGCGGCGGCGGGAAAGTTACCAATTAAAACGATGAAAGTTACGAATTGTTATGGAGACTGGTCAGCAATTGGAAGGCTGCGAGTTCAAAACTAAACCATGAAACTATTTTTATTGTACCAGGTAAGGCCCCACTAAGCTCTTTCTTCAGAAACGATCTGGCCGTCACAGATGATACCAGCGCAACCAAGTGGCTTATCACCTGAACCGTTGATGCTGAACTTAAACTAATTTAAACTTTATATTCTTAGTTTTTTCGGTAAAGTCACGTTGAAGGGAAGCAACAAAATAATAAAATAAATATAACAAAATGAAATATATATAAAATGAAATATATATAAAACAATAAAAAATTATTGTTTTATATATATTTTATTATTTTGTTGTTTCCCTTCAACGTGACTTTACCGAAAAAACTAAGAATATGAATTACTGCAGTCACGAAAGCTTTAAATCAAAATTTAATTTAAACTTTATTTTTATTTCACAAGGTAAGGCACCGCTGGCCTATGTAGCTCTTATAATGCAGTAGGTTCACGTGACATTGACTTCTCCAAGACAAGAGGTTCTTTGCAAGCCATGTGGCTACCATGAGAGATTCGTTCATGAGGCTATCCACATGTACAAGCACAGGGACAATTTCAACCGAGAAGATGGATTCCGGCTTAGCAATCATTGGAAGGATTTGATAAACCATTTCGGGTCTTAATTGATTGATCGCGCTTAAGGTGGCTTTCAGACTGCATCCATTATTTTTCGTCTTCCCCCTCCTCTTTTCCGAACATAGATGGACTCGTCCATCTGAACAAACTGTCAAATCGCTCTCCGTGGTGCTAACGTTAAACATAACCGCCACTTTTAAAAAATTTTCTTGCTGTGGTTTTCACACCTGATGATGATTGCTTGTGTCGCAGTCGAAACGTCGTGAGAATTTTATTGTTTTATATTTTTTATGTTATTGTTTCCCTTCTACGTGGTGACTTCACCGAAAGAACCAAGAATATGAATCCCTGCAGTCACGAAAGCTTTAAATCAAAATTTATGCAGCTCTTCTTTCAGCAGCGACCTGGCCATCACGGACGACAGCTCGCCGAAAGTGGCCCGATCATCGTCATCATCATCATCATCATCGCGCGCATATTTACGGCGACAACCGGAGCACAGCGTGCAAGCGTTTGTGCGATATGTGAAGCCACGGGCACAATTGTTCAAATACCCAGAGCACCGGTTCATCCGTGCCTTGCTTGCACTTCTGTTTCCACAAGGGCACCTGCAACACAGCCGCAACCATTCACAACGCGGGTTGCACAACGAGTCGAACTGACGTGGCTGCAGACATGATGTGTGTGCTTAACGTCCAATGGCGAAGCCAGGATTTTCCGGTAAGGGCGGGGGTCGGGCGGGAAACCCCTCCAGCAATGAAAAATGATAGAGGAGTCATATTCTTAGCTCTTTCGGTAAAGTCACGTTGAAGGGAAACAATAAAGTAATATAAAATATATATAAAACAATAAAAAAAATTCTCACGACGTTTCGACCACAACACAAACGGTCGTCATCAGGTGTGAAAAGATGACGACCGTTTGTGTTGTGGTCGAAACGTCGTGAGAATTTTTTATTGTTTTATATATATTTTATTATTTTATTGTTTCCCTTCAACGTGACTTGACCGAAAGAGCTAAGAATATGAATTACTGCAGTCACGAAAGCTTTAAATCAAAAGATAGAGGAGTTGTTAGTAAGTAAGGAGTTGTTAGTATTCTTGGTTCTTTCGGTAAAGTCACGTAGAAGGGAAACAATAAAATAATAAAAATATTTTTAGAAGGGAAACAATAAAGTAAGCAAAATATTTTTATTATTTTATTGTTTCCCTTCTACGTGGTGGTGACTTTACCGAAAGAACCAAGAATATGAATCCCTGCAGTCACGAAAGCTTTCAATCAAAATTTGAGTTGTTAGTACGTAAGGAGTTGTTAGTAAGTAAGGAGTAGTTAGTAAGAAGTTGTTAGTAAGTAAGGAGTTGTTAGTAAGTAAGGACTTGTCCCTTGCTTTTTATCCGACGCGTGTACGGCGATGGCCCAGCCATCGATTGAGGGTCGAATTCGAACCGCGTGGTGTGATCGGCATCGCGCTCGCTGAAGGTGTTGATGCCTTCAGCAAAGTCGTGGACTCTGTATACGCAACTGCGCACAATTCTGTGAGTCACTTAAAACCGCTTTGCCGTTCTTTATTGCCAATTATGGACTCGGACTATTGTCCTATCATCTCATAAGAGTCCCTGGCCACGTAATAATCTGCTACGCAGTGGCAGTGGGGGTCGCAAAATGCCGATGTATTACGAATAAACCCCAATGATCCGATCGAAATTCGGGATTTCGATCGGATCATTGGGGAGGGCACGTGCCCCCCCCCCCATCCCCCCCACCGGCTCCGCCAGTGATTGCATCCCACTCCGTACACAGACGACGACAAAAAAATCCTTCACACTTACTTCGCGAATTAAAATACGAAAAAAAAACGGGCACGTAAATAACGAGGAGAGAAAACAAATAAAAATCGTCGCAGAGAAAAATACGTTCAAACAAATAAATCCGTTCGGTCTCCATACCCCATGCAAAATAGAAATCCACAGTAGACTCCGACGTGCAGCCTAACCATGGCAGCTAAGGGCCACTGATTCGAAACGCTCTCGCAAGGGGTCGCAAGAGGTTACCAGAGGTCACAAGAGGTCACGAGCTTGGCACGGCCAACGGTCCTTGGCTGGCTACGCGCGACCGACGGATGTGATGTGTAGTGTTGTAAAGACGAGTAAACTTCTTAGGAGGCACACTCTGTTTATTGTACTTATTTCCTTATAGAGTCCGTAACACACACAGAGGGGTATACGGTCCCCTTACCCGATACCCTAGGGAGGTACAGCCTCCTAGCTTGCTAACCTCCTAGCTTGGCGGGACTTGCACGTCTACCGCTAACCTCCTTGATACCTAAGGAGGTACAGCCTCCTAGCTTGGCGATACTTACACGTCTACCATTATCCTAGCCTAGAGTCCTCCGGCTAGGACCTAGGAGATGGCTATCTGACCCACCGCTGGCCCGGTGGGTCCTGACCACTGGGTATGCCGAGCCTTAGCCCTCAGAAGGGCTGAAAGTCTGGGTCCAGGGTCCTAGCTAGGCTTCAGCCCAGTCTTCCGTCATTCGTGTAGGGAGAGAACTTCCCCAGCTCTGTTGGGTCACCCGTCTTATACCCCTTCGTGGCCAGGTAGAACCAATCACACATTGCCCACGTGGAGCCGTCTGATTGGTTCTTACCAAACCGTGGCCACGACCCGTTTCACCTCGACTGACCCCGACCGTTGTACCCAGGGGTAACGCTCCACTGCCCCGGTGGCAATGCAGCGGCGTTACCCAACAGCGCGTGGTTAACGCCTCTACAGACGGGTGGGATGGACGCCGCTTGACAAGACTGCGCCGCGTGCCTTGGGGCTGGGCGGTCGCGAGAGGCCGGCTCACCGTCCTCGCGTCGTTGGATATGAAGACGGCATAGAGCCCCCGCAGCGTCCGCCTCCGCCCACGGGCGTGCTCGATCAACTTCCAGACGTTTTCCTCGCTGTGACGGGATGGGATTGAACGGAAGGAACACGACGTTTGTGAATACTCGAGGAATCCGATGGACGTGTATATGAAGCTCTTTTTTTCACAGACGTTACACCTTGAGGGATTTGTCAGAATCAGAATACTTATTTATCCTGGGGGTATCCAATGAGCTGTAGAGATATTTTTTTCACAGATGTTCCAGCGGGGGGGGGGGGGGGGGGGGGGGGGGGGGGCACCGGGGTCGGAACGCTACAACAACGAACGATGTGAAAACACGATAGGAGGACAAATCACTTGCAAAAAATATAGAAATATAACAGAGCCACTTCCGTGCCCCCGTCGAAAAGGCCGCTCTCCTCCTATCTTACAGCTACATGCTAATTACTCACAACACATTCTCCTGCGGAGGGAGCCGGTAGGAACGTTGGGTTGCTCGGTCAATGGCCAGGGTCAACGGCGGAACCACGTGGTGTATTCCGCACAATGTGCCCGACTGTGAGGGTGTGCACAAGCCGGCGTGAGTAGGTGAAACGTTGAGTTTTATAAGGGCACCACGGGGTGACCAGCCCCTCCCCACCTAGCCCCACCCCCCACCCATTTTTGGATGCACGATGGACGGACGGACACAATAATCCCCCGTGGGCTGCTGGTGTAACCAGGAGGTTCCTACACAGTATTAACATCACTAGCCCCGGCCACTTCTTTATGACCCTTGGGCTACACCCATTTCAAACCTTTTAAGACAGTCTGCCTCAGCAGCAGACCACGGCTTTCCCCACCTGATGAAGGACGCTTGTGTTGCGCCCGAAACGTCGTGATTTCTTTTATTTTATACCTACCACGTGACTTTACCGAAAGAACCAAAGAGTATGGATTCCTGCAGTCACGAAAGCTTCAAATCAAGAGTGAATATAACTAATTTGATATTTTACCAGCTAAGGCCCGCTCTTTTTCAGAGGCGACCTGGGCGCAAACGATAGCTCAGCGGAGTGGCTCATCACCATCGTGTGGACATGTATAGCAGCAGCAGCAGCAGCAGTGAAACGCTTTTAACGGGTGATGTTGAATCTACATGTGGAGGGAAAAACCGGAGGACCCGGAGAAAAATCCACGCCACCACTGGAAGAGAGAGAGAGACACATTTATAGGTAATATATTTTGATTTAAAGCTTTCGTGGCTGCAGGGATTCATATTCTTGGTTCTTTCGGTAAAGTCACGAAGAAGGGAAACAATAAAATAAAAATATAAAACAATAAAATTCTCACGACGTTTCGACTGCAACACAAGCAATCATCATCAGGTGTGAAAACATGATGTGTGAAAACCTGATGATGATTGCTTGTGTTGCAGTCGAAACGTCGTGAGAATTTTATTGTTTTATATTTTTTATTATTTTATTGTTTCCCTTCTACGTGACTTTACCGAAAGAACCAAGAATATAGGTAATAATTGTTTTGTTTCTTACACCTTGAATGAGGTTGTTATTTCTTTAGTGTTTTGGCTAGCATTTAAAATAATGTATTTTACACACTTTTATTTAACTCACTTTGTCTGTTGTTGTAGTTGCATCCTCAAATCTTGTAATTCAATGTAAACCCACTTCCCAACGTGGTATCGACTGCAAACTTGGTATACTTATGTCACACTGATGACAATACTATATTCTATCATAAAAAAAAAATGTTCACATTCATTTTTATATGTTATGTTTCGCCTTGGGTCTAATTGTCCACGCTCAACTGACGTTGGCTGTAATTGCCCACGGCCCCCTTAAGTTGTGGCAAGCTTCGGGGCCACTTCCTGGAGTCGTGGAGTTCTTCCATTACTAGTACGGTACATTTAATTAAAGCGTGTTTTTAAGAAAGTATTTTTTTTAACATAACTTTATTTAGAATGGTATTTGCCCAGCAAAGACACAATGTCTGCTTAATCGTTGGCTTTGGCTTATCCTGCACTGCCCTCTGCTGGCCAAAATTAATAAAACATTTTTTAAAAAAACTTTTAATTTGACCAGGTAAGGCCCCACCGAGCTACTAACATCGCTTTTTTCAGAAGCGACCTGGCCATCACAAATGATAGCTCAACGAAGCGGCTTAACATCATCATCATTATTACGTGGAAATGTTTAACAGCGGTCAAACACTCTGAATGCGTGACGTTGATTATAAATGTGGAGGGAAAAAAACGGAGGACCCGGAGAAACATCCACGCGACCACAGGGAGAGAGACACGCAAACTACAAATATACAGCAGCAGGTGTCAGGGTCATGATCTAACCCACGGCCTCCTGTAGACCAGGTGAGGTAGTTAACATCTCACCACGTGGAGAGAGAGACACTCAAACTCCAAATATACAGCAGCAGGTGTCAGGGTCCGGATCGAACCCACGACCTCCTGTAGACCAGGCGAGGTAGTCAACATCTCACCACGGAGAGAGAGACACGCAAACTCCAAATATACAGCAGCAGGTGTCAGGGTCCGGATCGAACCCACGACCTCCTGTGTACCAGGCGAGGTAGTTAACATCTCGCCACCGTGGCGCCAATATCACTGCAGCGCTTGTGCCAGGCTAGGTGCACTTTGAGGCCACATGAGGTGTTGAGGGCACGATACAGACCCAGCAGGTGCCACGGGTCGGCTGACTGAGATGGCTACTGACAGATGCACCACCTGTGCCCCCTACTGTGCCAGGCTAGGTGCAGGTTACGGGGACAGACCCAGCAGGTGCCATGGGTCGACTGAGATGACGACTGGCAGATGCACCACCTGTGCCCCGCTACTGTGCCAACTTGCCTCGATTTGGCCAGTGCCTTCACCATCACCAACAAACGAAGTGGCGGTGACGTCAACCACGCCGCTTGTGCCAGGCTAAGTGCACGCTACCACCACCATTATCACCACGGGGCAAGTGCTGTTAGCGAGTAGCACCGATCACCGCCATAACCACCACCACCATCATCATCACCACCATCACTACCATCACCACCACCATCACTACCATCACCACCACCATCACCACCATCATCATCACCATCATCACCACCACCATCATCATCACCACCTTCATCATCACCACCACCATCACCACCACCATCATCATCACCACCTTCATCATCACCACCATCACCATCACTACCATCATCATCACCACCACCATCACCGCCATTACCACCATCATCACCACCACTCTCATCACCACCACCACCATCATAATCACCACCACCATCATCACCACCATCATCATCATCACCATCATCACCACCATCATCACCGCCATAATCAGCACCATCATCATCACCACCACCATCATCATCGCCATAATCACCACCATCATCATCATCACCACCATCATCATCATCACCACACCACCATCATCATCACCATCATCATCATCACCACCACACCATCATCACCACCACCATCACCACCACCACACCATCATCATCACCACCATCATCATCATCACCACCACACCATCATCATCATCATCACTACCAACATCACCACCACCACACCATCATCATCACCACACCACCATCATCATCACCACCACCACCACACCATCATCATCATCACACCACCATCATCATCACCACACCACCATCACCACCACTCGCTTCCGCTTGGGGTGAAACGTGGATATCGCCCACCTCGTCAGAGACGTCGATCGGGTTAGCGTCTGTTTAGTCGCAACGTTAGCCAACGTTAGACCAACGTCGGCCCCAACGTGTCAACATAGGCACAACGTTGTGTCTACGTAGGCCCAACGTTGTGTCTACGTAGGCCCAACGTTGTGTCAACGTTCGGTGAACGTTGTGTCAACGTAGGCCCAACGTTGTGTCAACGTTCGGTCAACGTTGTGTCAACGTAGGCCCAACGTTGTGTCAACGTTCGGTCAACGTTGTGTTTACGTAGGCCCGACGTTGTGTCTACGTAGGCCCAACGTTGTGTCAACGTTCGGTCAACGTTGTGTCTACGTAGGCCTCAACGTTGTGTCAACGTCGGCCTAACGTTGTGTCTACGTAGGCTAGACGTTGTGTCAACGTAGGCCCGACGTTGTGTCTACGTAGTGTCAACGTTAGGCCAACGTCGGCCTAACGTTGTGTCAACGTTGGGCCTACGTTGTAGCTGCCTCCCCACCCCCCTCACTCACCAGTAGCAGCCCCAGTAGCCGCACTGGTCCCGGGGCGGCACGGGGCACGCGGCGACACCCATCGCCGCCTCGTCACACATCACCGCCTCGTCACCCATCACTCTCTCGTCACACATCACTCTCTACTACTACTCCTGCTGATGATGATGATGATGCTGCACTCTCTCCTCCTGCTGCACCCTCTCCTGCACTCTCTCCTCCTGCTGCACTCTCCTCCTCCTGCTCAATCTCCTGCTGCTGATGCTGCTGCACCCTCTCCTCCTCCTGCTCAATCTCCTCCTCCTGCTGCACTCTCTCCTGCACACTCTCCTCTCTCCCCCCTCTCCTGCACTCTCCACTCTCTCCTGCACTCTCTCCTCCACTCTCCCCCCTCTCCTGCACTCTCCTCTCTCCTGCACTCTCTCCTGCACGCTCTCCTGCACTCTCTCCTGCACTCTCTCCTGCACTCTCTCCACTCTCTCCTGCACTCTCTCCCCCCTCTCCTCCACTCTCTCCTGCACTCTCTCCACTCTCTTCTGCACTCTCTCCTGCACTCTTCCCTCTCTCCCCCCTCTCCTGCACTCTCTCCCCCCTCTCCTGCACTATTTCCTCTATCTCCTGCACTCTCTCCTGCACTCTCTCCACTCTCTCTCCACTCTCTCCTGCACTCTCTCCCCTCTCCTGCACTCTCCCCTCTCTCCTGCACTCTCTCCTGCACCCTCCACCCTCTCTTGCACTCTCCTGCACTCTCTCCAGCACTCTCTACTCTCTCCTGCACTCTCCTGCACTCTCCTGCACCCTCCCCCCTCTCTTGCACTCTCTCTTGCACTCTCTCCTGCACTCTCTCCACCCTCTCCTGCACTCTCCTGCACTCTCCCCTCTCTCCTGCACTCTCCTGCACTCTCTCCTGCACTCTCCTCTCTCTCCTGCACTCTTCCGCGCGAGAATCGACTCCTCCGACCTTCGTCAGCGAGTCGATTCGAGATTAATTTTTATTTATTTTTGAAAGCGAGAAAGTCGATCTAACAACCAACTTAAGTCGCCACCCACACAGAGGTCGACTTTCGCTTGAAGAGGAGACAGAGAGAGAGAGGAGCCACCCGCGGTGCTTTAATCTTCGCAATTTGTTGTTTTTTAATGTTTATAACGATTGTGTAAACATGTGTATCGCAAAGGCGGGTTCGTATCGATAATCGATTCAGAGTGAGGGGGGGGGTAACGGTTACTGGTTCGCGACTTCTACCGGGTTCCAGTTGACCGGCTTGCCCCCCCCCCCCCCTTTTTAAGTCGGAGAGGAAAACCCGAACAGAACCGGTTAATATGGTCGTTGACAGAAACCGGTTTCCCCGCGACCCGCATCGATTTCCGTGGATCGGGAGGTGACGTCACCACCGAGCGTGGGGGGGGGGGTCGCGCGTTGTTGAAAGCACAAATTAAACAAAAAAACTCTAAAAACAAAACTCAACACATTGCTACGAAGAAGCGTTCATTGCCCGAAACGTCGCCAATATATTTTAAAATTCCCCCCCAAAAAAGTCGCACGATGTCGATGACGCGGTGCGACCTGTTTTGAACTGAACAAGATGGCGGCGGCGCGCACAAGCACGCGCCGCCGCCATCTTGTTTAGTTCACTCACCACCACCACGGTCGGAGATGCTCGATCCACTGCTGGATGAAGGAATTCCCCACCCCCAACAAGTCGCCCGTACCTGTCATGAATACATAGAGACCCACAGAGATACATAGAGATCCTTATAGACAAATGGAGACCGACAGAGACACGCAGAGACCCATATAAATAGAAAATCCATAGAGATACATCGATATAGCATGCCTGCTAACCCACACGGTTTATACTCCGTATTCTTATACAGGGGAATTGAGTTTGCAGGTCCACACGGAGTACAGCCGCTTCAACGCGGGCAAACAAAAATGTCTATTTCGTGTTTTTCTCTCCCTTGTGATGGGACTTTGTAGGATGAACGTTGAGATTTATAAGGTGGCACGGGGTGACCAATAAGGTCTGAGTTGGTCTGTAATAAGGTAGGGCAACTGATAAAGGTACCCGGAGATCGTCGGGATCGAACCCACAACCTCCTGTATACCAGGCGAGGTAGTTAACATCTCATAGCCACCGTGGCGCCACCTTTAGGGGCTAGGGGACGGGGTTTGGGGAGAACGTAGCAAACCACCAACGCGGAAAAACCAAGCCGGGTCGGAAATCGAATCCGGGCGAGCACAACCCGGCAAATGTTGGCCCAACGTCGGCACGCGTGGCCCTAACCGTTGTACCGTCGTGGGCCCAGCAACGTCTCTGAATAGGCCCACCTCTTTCTGGCCCGGCTTTCCGGTGGCACCTCCGCAACCTCGTTGCCGTCTCGCGGTCAACCGTCTCTGTGAACCGTCGAGCGCCCGGTACAGATATCGTCGGAATTATTGCAATTGTTACAATTGTACGAATTGTTGTAATGATTGGATCCGCTGAACCCTGCCCTCTCACCCCAGCCGGGAGTGTGAACTCTGGAACTGAAACGAGGCTCTTTTTTTTTACTGAAGGCCCCATTGGAGCTACGTAGCCCTTTTTCACGAGCGACCTGCCCACCACAAAAGACCGCTCAACGGACTGGATAACATCATCATGTGGAGCTTTATTTGCGGCCAAATACCCGACACGCACGTTGATTCTAAAGGCAGAGGGAAAAACCGCAGGAAAATCCACGCGGCCGCGGGGAGACAGATACATAGATACACGCAAAAAACTCCAAACACACAACAGGCGTGAGGTTCCGGATCAAACCCACGACCTTCTGTATACCAGGCAGGGTACTTTACATCTCCGAGCCACCACGGTGCCCCGGTTCACATGACCAACGCCTCCGATGTACCACGGTTGGCTACGTACGGTGCGAAAAAAGTTCAACATACACACGGCCCCCTGCCGCCTCTAGGCAATGCTACATTCACCACGACCTTAAAGCAATTGGATTTTACGAATGGATTGTGCGACCCAGAAATAATTACAACGCGAACACAAAGACCCCTCGTGTAGCCTTGAACATCAAAGAGCTTGCCATGACCCTCGACAGTTCTGGATTGGGCCTCAAACAGACTGTTGGGGCAAGTGCTGTTAGCGCGAACCTATTTAGGCCGGCACGGCACACGAAGGGGTGGGTGGCCAACACTACGCCCGGCCTAACTTGAGTTTCCCCTGTGCCGTTGTTTTTACACACCGCACCAGGTACTCATTTGAGGCTGAGTCGACCTCGGGGAGGTTCCAGGACCGGTTGAGATAATCGCGACCGGCTGTGAGCGGGACTCGAACTTAGTTTCCCCCGAAACAGGAGGGTGGATTTCTCCACAACTCTGGCTGTCGCCTGATGATGCTGGTTTTTGTTGTTGGAATCATCCGGCAAATCATCACGGCTACTTGAATGGTAAATGTTGTAAGTGGCTTTAATCTGCAACACACCGGTTAGTGCTGTGCTCGTAGCGACTTGGCACGTTTTGTTTACGTGACAAACGCTCACTAATTGGCTGTGTCGGGTCATGGTGGGTTTAACGACGCATTTATATTTACACGCTCTAACCCGACAAAAAAACCTCGATTATGGATCCCCCGCATAGCCTGAACAGACTGTAGGGGCAAGTGCTGTTAGCGAGCAGCACCTATGAAGGCCGGTAACGGTACACGAGGGGGTGGGTGGCCAGAACCACGCCCGACTGCCTTTGTCTCCCCAGTGGCGATGTTTACTACACACCGCAGCAGGTACTCATTTGAGGCTGAGTCGACCTAGTGGAGGAGGCCCAGGACCGGTTCAGATCCCCGTCACTGGTGTTGGCCGTGAGCGGGAATAGAACTCGGGTCGCTGGGTTCGCAGAGCAGCGCGCCAACCGCCACCAATACCCTCTCCCCACACGCACAGCGCACGTACAGACGCGATCACAACGCGTCCATCATGGCCAGCAGCTCCTCGCCTTTGCTGCTGGGCTCTTGGCTGCCGTCCCCCTTGGCGCCCTCCCCCCCCGTGGCCTCCCCCGGGTGCCCCTCGTCGGAGAAGCCTCCCATGATCCTCTGCAGCTCTTGATTGGGCTGCGACTGCGGGACGAGAGACGGGACGGGCAGGCCTTACTGCACGCACGGTCAGCTTCCGCGACGCGGAAATCGGATACCGAGCGACGGACGTTTTAGGGAGCACTTTTATAACACGGTCGCTACGAAGGTCCACGTGACGATAGGCCGCCTTTGTTGAGCTCATCATTTGTGATGGCCGGGTGGCTTCTGAAAAAAAAATACCTCAGTGGCAGTGGCGGAGTATCCTAGCAGCACAAGTAGCTACACAATGCGACGGGCACCGCACTTTCAAGGGCCCCGCGCTAAACGCTTTCAAGCTATCAATTCCGTTTCAGTGATTCTGCACTCGCTCTATTACTATAGTACTATACCGCCTTCAGCTTGTACGAACGACCGGGTGTTTAAGGTTAGCGATTTGTCGTATTAGCTGGCTGTGTAGCAAATGAAAAAATACAATTACTTTACTATGAAAGTAAGAAATGTGTGTTTTAATATTTACGTGTTTTTTTTTTTATTTAGGGTCCCTTTATAACATCATGCTACAGGACTTTAACATAGCCATTTCTGTGACCAGTCACAAGCTAATCCCTCAGCTATTTGCACAAGCTAATCCCTTAGCTATTTCAATGCTAAATTACTAGTTGCCTCTGTGGATGTGTAGGTTTTGACTTTAACATAGCCATTTCTGTGACCAGTCACAAGCTAATCCCTCAGCTATTTCAATGCTAAATTACTAGTTGCCTCTGTGGATGTGTAGGTTTTGACTTTAACATAGCCATTCCTGTGACCAGTCACAAGCTAATCCCGCAGCTATTTGATATGTAAACCCCTTTGTCAAGGTGCCTCACTTCTCCCAACCAGCTTAAAAGTCGCTACGAATCTTAACGTCGTTCACTGAAGCTCTGTCGTCCCGACAGGTCTGTTCCTTTCACCTGAAGACGGCCGCTTGCGTTGTGGCCGAAACGTCGTGAGAATTTTATAGTGTTATTTTATTATGTTATTCTTATTCCACGTGACTTTACCGAAAGAACCAAAGAAGATCATGCTACAGGCCCCGCACTAGCTTAATCCGCCACTGTTCAGTGGGCTTTTGCCTGGGTAGGATGGCGATGGTTTCGTGTTGTATTTGTAAGTGTTTGAGTGACTTGTTCACCATTTCTTGCACTTTGCACTACCATCGCGTTTGTGTGCCGTTTGTCGTTGTGACGTTCTGACCCCCCGTGACCCGAATGGACATCTGTGACAAAAGAGCTTCACAGCTCATCGGATTCCTTCTGCAGTCTAAATCAATATTCTGATGAGTGAACGGGGAACTACGTCGCGCGAGTAAGAATAAGCGGTTGGTCGTGCGGCTGCCCCGGGCGTAGTATCGTCACGCAAATTGCATCGGGGATGCTGCTGGATTCTTTCTACATCAGCGGCCAGATTTTTTTTAGGAGGTAAATCATCGAAAAAGTAAATTAAGCATGGAGCACGTACGTTACAACTTACTTTGTTTAATCAAACCCTAATGTATTTATATTCTTGTTTCTTTCGGTAAAGTCACGTAGAAGGGAAACAATAAAATAATAAAAACATAAAACAATACAATTATCGCGACGTTTCGACTGCAACACAAGCAATCATCATCAGGTGTGAAAACCACAGCATGAAAAATTTGAAAAAAGTGGCGGTTTTTTTCTTAACGTCAGCACCACGGAGAGCGATTTGGCAGTTATCCAGCTTGCTGTGGTTTTCACACCTGATGATGATTGCTTGTGTTGCAGTCGAAACGTCGTGAGAATTTTCTCGTTTTATATTTTTATCACTTGATCGTTTCCCTTCTACGTGGTGACTTTACCGAAAGAACCAAGAATATGAATCCCCGCAGTCACGAAAGCTTTAAATACAAATTTTAAACCTAATGTATTTATTAACATTTTTTTTGTTTTGTACGATTGAGACCCAGGGCTGCAGCGAAGGATAAGAACCACGGCTCGAGATGTCACCCGCTACGCGAACTCGGTCTTTTGTTTCGCCTGCGTTACGCATCATCTCGCGGGCTAGTGCGGACTGCGCTCTACCCTCCGACAAGTAGGCTTTCCGCGACCAATATTATTATTAATAATAAAGGGTTTTTGTGGTCAGATGGCGTAAGTATAAATGTTGTGTCGTAACCCCTCCACCACCCGACGCAGCAGCCAGTAAGGTTTGTCACGTAAACCAATTAGTGACTACTTGAGCCCACCGGTGTGTTGGAGAGTGAATCCACAACGTTTCTAATTCGAGTAGTACGACGTTTCGCTGGTAATTACAACAACCAGCATCGTCGGGCAAATCACACGTTTTGTTTGCGTGACAAACCACACTGTGGGTGGGGGTGGGGGTTTGGGTGGGGGTTTGGGTGTGGGTGGGGTGTGGGTGGGGGTGTGGGTGGGGGTGTGTGGGTGTGTGGGTGGGGGTTTGGGTGGAGGTCTGGGTGGGGGTGTGAGTGGGGGTGTGGGTGGGGGGTGTGGGTGGGGGGTGTGAGTGGGGGTGTGGGTGGGGTGTGTGGGTGTGGGTGTGAGTGGGGGTGTGAGTGGGGGTGTGGGTGGGGGTGTGTGGGTGGGGGTTTGGGTGTGGGTGGGGGCGTGGGTGGAGGTGTGTGGGCGTGGGTGGGGGTGTGAGTGGGGGTGTGAGTGGGGGTGTGGGTGTGGGTGGGGGTGTGTGGGTGGGGGTGTGGGTGGGATGTGTGGGTGGGGGGCGTGGGTGGAGGTGTGTGGGCGTGGGTTGGCAGTGGGGCCGCCACCACAAGGGGCCACCGAGGGACAGGCCGCCGGTGGCCCCCTGTGGTGGGCCTTGCAACGCCCCTTGACCCCGAGCCGGGTTACTTCCCCCGCGGGGCGATCGCTTCCCAGCGGCGGCCTGCGAAGAGGGCGGACTACCTTGGCGGCGTTGATGTTGATGACGCGGTGATGGGAGTCGTGCGATCGGAGGGTCAGCGCCTCTCTGGGGAAAGGACAAAAGTGAACAAACAGGCACATGAATAAATATATGTTGTACGAGAAGCAAGCAAGCTCCCCGCTATAAACTACGCAACTATTTCTGTTTATTCTACCAGGTAAGGCCCGCTACTAGCTCAACGACGTGGGCTTGTCATCATCATCATCATCATGTGGGAATTGATAGCAGCAGTCAAACACTCTGAACGCGTGACGTTGATTCTGAACGTGGAGGGGGAAAAAACCGTAGGACCTGGGGAAAAATCCACGCGACCACGGAGAGAGAGAGAGAGAGAGACACGCAGACTCCAAATATACAGCGGGCGTCGTCAGGGTCGGGATCGAACCCACAACGTCCTGCGTACCGGGCGAGGTAGTTAACATCTCACCACGGAGCGAGGGAGAGAGACACGCAAACTCCACATATACAGCAGGCGTCGTCAGGGTCGGGATCGAACCCACGACGTCCTGCGTACCGGGCGAGGTAGTTAACATCTCACCACGGAGAGAGAGACACGCAAACTCCACATATACAGCAGGCGTCGTCAGGGTCGGGATCGAACCCACGACGTCCTGCGTACCGGGCGAGGTAGTTAACATCTCACCACGGAGCGAGGGAGAGAGACACGCAAACTCCAAATATACAGCAGGCGTCGTCAGGGTCGGGATCGAACCCACGACGTCCTGCGTACCGGGCGAGGTAGTTAACATCTCACCACGGAGCGAGGGAGAGAGACACGCAAACTCCACATATACAGCAGGCGTCGTCAGGGTCGGGATCGAACCCACGACGTCCTGCGTACCGGGCGAGGTAGTTAACATCTCACCACGGAGAGAGAGAGAGACACGCAAACTCCACATATACAGCAGGCGTCGTCAGGGTCGGGATCGAACCCACGACGTCCTGCGTACCGGGCGAGGTAGTTAACATCTCCTAGCCCCCGCGGCGTCAGCTCGTTGTGAGCGAGTCCTCCCGCGAGGAGGGCCGCTCTGTCAGCACGTTAGCGCAACGGGCTTAATGGTCAGCACGTTAGTTAAGTCAACACACTCGTAAATTCGTTGTTCATTCATTCACTAAACAGTCAGGTAATTTAAAACATCATGCATTAATTATGAAATGCATTTAGCAATTTCATCATTCAACCCATTTATTAACTCGTTAATTCATGAACTCATCTTTAAACCCACTAATTCGACATATTCATAAGCTCATAAAGTCATTTATATGCTGAGTTTAACACGTAGACTGTCAATGTTGTGGATTCACTCTTCAACACACCGGTGGGCTAAAGCAGTGAACTATTTTGTCTTTTGTCAACGTGACACTTTTTTTTGCTGATTGGCCGTGTCGGGTGGTGGAGGGTTACGACACATTTATAAATAACGCGATCTCACCCAAAAACCTTTATTATTCATCATTTATATGCTCATCGTCCTTCCCCCGGACCTCCGATTAGCACGGTTGGCTACGTGCGATGCAAAAGAAGTTCAACGTAGACAGGGCAAAGGTCCCCCGTGTAGCCTGTAACAGACTGCTGGGGCAAGTGCTGTTAGCGAGCAGCACCTGTGAAGTCCGGTTCAACACACGAGGGGGTGGGTGGCCAGCACCACGCCCGACCGACCGACTTTGTCTCCCCAGTGGCGATGTTTATACACCACCGCACCAGGTACTCATTCGAGGCTGAGCCGACCTAGGGGAGGCCCAGGACCGGTTCAGAAAATCGTCACCGGTGTTGGCCGTGAGCGGGACGCGAACTCGGATCGCCGGGTTCGTAGCGTCTGCGTAGCGCTAACCGCTGCACCACGGCTGGTGCTGATGTTCACCGGACACCTCAGCAGGTACACACACACACACACACGCGCGCGCGCGCGCGGACAGACTCACTCTTAATCTTTGGTTCTTTCGGTAAAGTCACGCAGGTAGAAAAGATAACGGATCACGCAACACAAGCAGTCGTCATCAGGTGAGACAACCACTGCGAGAAAACTGCTGAAGCTGTCTCACCTGATGACGATTGCTCGCGATGCGCCCGAAACGTCGTGACCTCTTTATTATTATTTCTACCCACGTGGACTTTACCGTAAGAACCAGAGAGTAACGCATTCATGCAGCCAGTAAAACTTCAAATCAAGATGAGACTCACTCTTCCTCTCGCTCGCTGTTGAAGAGCAGCAGTTTAAATTCACTCCCGGAGGCCTGCGGCCCAAGGCTCCCACCCATGAGATGAGCAAGAAGATTCAGCTCCTCCTTGGCCAAGAGGTTGGGTAGGGAGCTCTCCTGCACACAGAGACAAAGGTCCCCCCCCGGTATAGCCTTTAACGGAGTGTCGGGGCAAGCGCTGTTAGCGAGTATGGAGCTGCGCATGCTAAAGCCGGCACACGAGGTGGGGGTGGTGGGCGGTGGGCAGTGTCACACTCGCGGGCGCTCACCCATTCACTCAACTCACCCATTCACTCGCCCACTCACTCACCTACTACCCACGCACATACACACACACACCTACAGATTCACATACACACACACACACACCTGCAAATGAACATATGCACAAACCTACATACTAATACACACACACACATACAGATTCCCATACACACACACACATACAGATTCACATACAAACACACGTACAGATTCACATACATACACCTACAGATTCACATACAAACACATACAGATTCACATACAAACACACGTACAGATTCACATACACACACCTACAGATTCACATACAAACACATCCAAATTTACATACAAACACACATACAGATTCACATACACACACCTACAGATTCACATACACATACCTACAGATTCACATACAAAAACAGATTCACATACACACACAGATTGACATACACACACCTACAGATTGACATACACACATACAGATTCACATACACACACCTACAGATTCACATACACAACACACACATACATATTCACATACACAAACACACATACAGATTCACAGACACAACACACACATACAGATTCACATACACACACACACGTACAGATTCACATACACACGAAGCTTTGGTCTTGAATAATCATATGTCCTACTAGCTGCCAACTTTGCAAATCACACCGCGAATCAGCCAATTCGCATTTGACGCAGCGCTAATTGAGCCTCAGTCCTCCTCTCTTGAGCCTTGACCGGGTTAAACAAAATAAACTTGAAACTTAACGTAAGACGTTTGCTTTACTGGAGCGCCACGGTGACTAAGAGATGTTGACGACCTCGCCTGGTGTGCAGGAGGTCGTGGGTTCGATCCGGACCCTGACACCTGCTGCTGTATATTTGGAGTTTGCGTGTCTCTCTCTCTCTCTCCGTGGTGAGATGTTGACTACCTTGCCTGGTGTGCAGGAGATCGTGGGTTCAATGCTGACTCTGACGCCTGCTGCTGTATATTTGGAGTTTGCGTGTCTATCTCTCCGTGGTGAGATGTTAACTACCTCGCCTGGTGTACAGGAGGTCGTGGGTTCGATCCGGACCCTGACACCTGCTGCTGTATATTTGGAGTTTGCGTGTCTCTCTCTCCGTGGTGAGATGCTGACTACCGATTAGCACGGTTGGCTTCGTGCAGTGGGAAAGAAGTTCAACCAATACCAATATCCCGCCATTCGCCACTAAGTGACGGTGACGTCACCACGGCGCGCCTGTGCCAGGCTTGGTGCACGTTGAGGCCACGTGAAGTGTCGAAGGCTCGCTGACAGGAACAGACCCAGCAGGTGCCATGGGTTGGCTGACTGAGATGACTGAAATAATGCACCACCAGCTGTACCACTTACTGCGCCAACTGGCTGCATTTTCACCACCCGAAGTTCAACGCACATACACAGAGACGCACAGAGACCCACAGAGACACACGGTTGGCTACGTACGGTGCGAAGAAAAAGTTCAACGTGCACACAGAGACCCACAGAGACCCACAGATTAGCGCGGTTGGCTACGTACGGCGGAAAAGAACACACACAGAGACCCACAGAGACCCACGGTTGGCTACGCACGGTGCAAAAGAAGTTCAACATACACACAGAGACCCACAGAGACCCACAGAGACACACGGTTGGCTACGTACGGCGGAAAAGAAGTTCAACGTACACACAGAGACCCACAGAGACCCACAGAGACGCACGGTTGGCTATGTACGGTGCGAAAGAAGTTCAACATGCACGCAGAGACCCACAGAGACCCACAGATTAGCGCGGTTGGCTACGTACGGCGGAAAAGAATACACACAAGAGATCCACAGAGACGCACGGTTGGCTACGCACAGTGCGAAAGAAGTTCAACATACACACAGAGACCCACAGAGACCCACAGATTAGCGCGGTTGGCTACGTACGGCGCGAAAGAAGTTCAACGCGCGTACAGCACACGTGCAACGCACAACGGAGATCTGGGCTCACCTGGGCGTGCGGGGAGCACGCCTTGGTGGCTCCGGCCAGATCGGTGTCCACACTCCGTGTTGTGCTGTACCTGTGCAAAACGCAGACGCGGGATGCCGCGGGGCGAGAGGGCACGCAGGCACGCAACACTCTCGGGACCGCCTCTACGATGCAGGTTTTGATCTAGGATTGAAGAATTTCGTGACTGCAGGAATTACGACACTCACTCATTGGTTCTATACCCTTTGGTTCTATTCGGTAAAGTCACGTGAAATTTTTTTTTTTCACGACGTTTCGGCCACAACACAAGTGGCCTTCATCAGGTGAAGGGAGCAGACTGTGTCTAGAGGACAGCGCTGGAGCGAAACACAGCCAAGCTCAGACCGCGACCTTTAAGCTGCGTGAGAGGAAGCAGAGCGCCTTGACAAAGGAATTAGCATAAAAAATTAGCATTTAATTGGCGGACTTAGCGTGATGAACTCATTGGTTCTTTCGGGTAAAAGTCACGTGATGTATAAATAAAATCAAAATAGATCGCGACCACCCGACACGGCCAATTACGTAAACGGAACGTGCCGATTCGGCCACGGCTCTCATACATCTACGCGATCTAACGCCAACAAAAAAATTCACCCGCGTCACGGATGATATTGGCGGCGAAATCTTCCTACGTGTTGAAGAGAAGCGATCGCGGCCCACGTGGTACACTCAGGTGGGTGGTGGTGGTGGTGGCGGCAGCCACCGCCGCATTCTCCCCCCGCCACCCGATGGTTGCGCACCGCACCGTGGTCACCCCGTTTAGGGCCGAGGCTACCTAGGGGAGGCTCAAAGGCAGGTACTGACTCGCGTGTGCTCGCGTGTGTACGTGAGCGCGTGTGTGTGTGTACGCGAGTGTGTGTGTACGCGAGTGTGTGTGCACGCGAGTGTGTGTACGAGTGTGTGTGCGAGTGTGTGTACGCGTGAGCGTGTGCGCGCGAGCGTGTGTACGCGAGCGTGTGTACATGAGTGTGTGTGTGCACGCGAGCGTGTGCGCGTGAGCGTGTGTGTGTACACGAGCGTGTGTACATGAGTGTGTGTGTGTACGCGAGCGTGTGTACATGAGAGTGTGTGTGTACGCGAGCGTGTGTACGCGAGTGTGTGTACGCGAGCGTGTGTACATGAGAGTGTGTGTGTACGCGAGTGTGTGTACGCGAGCGTGTACGTGGGTGTGTGTACGTGAGCATGTGCATACACGCTCGCGTGCGCACGCGAGCGTGTGTACACAAGTGTGTGTACACAAGCGTGTGTACACAAGTGTGTGTACACAAGCGTGTGTACACAAGCGCGTGTACACAAGCGCGTGTGCACGAGCGTGTGTGCACGCTCACATGTTGGTGCCCAGCGTGATGACGCGCTCCCCGTAGATCTCGCACGAGCCGTCTCGCAGCGCGGGCGAGTAGGCGCCGCCTGCCGGAAACCCCAGGCAGCGCAGCACCTCCCCGCTGGGGGCGAACAACCTGCACGCGGTGACAAAAGGAGAGCACCTCGCCCCACTCAACCCGGCACACCGCACCCCGCCGCAGCCGCAGCCTCAGCGAACCGTCGGGGGGCCCGTAAAGCGAGCCGGCCTAGGGGAGGGGGCCCCGGGGACCGGTTCAGGCGGTCGCGAGCGGGAATCGAACTCGGGTTGCCCTGGGTGGGTGGGTGGGTAGTGGGCACCACCGCTCCCCGTGACAAAGATCCCCCACCGTGTAGCCTGAACGGACTGTCGGGGGCAAGTGCTGTTAGCGAGCACCTATGAAGGCCGGAACGGTACACGAGGGGGGTGGGTGGCCAGCACCACGCCCGACCGCCTTTGTCTCCCCAGTGGCGATGTTTACACACCGCCGTACCAGGTACTCATTCGAGGCCGAGTCGACCTAGGGGAGGCCCAGGACCGGTTCAGATAATCGTCACCGGCGGTGGCTGTGAGTGGGAATCGAACTCGGGCCGCCGGGTTCGTTCGCCACCACCACTCATCCATCCACTCACCCACTCACCCACTCACTCACCCATCCACTCACCCACTCACCCACTCACCCATCCACTCACCCACTCACTCACTCACTCACCCACCCACCCACCCACTCACTCACTCGCTCACCCACTCACCCATCCACTCACCCACTTACCCACTCACCCACTCACCCGTCCACTCACCCACTCACCCACTCACCCATCCACTCACTCACTCACTCACCCACTCAACCATCCACTCACCCACTCACTCACTCACCCACCCACCCATCCACTCATCACCATTCACCCATCCACTCACTCACTCACCCACTCACCCATCCACTCACCCACTCACTCACTCACTCACCCACCCACCCACTCACTCACCTACCCACACACCCATCCACTCACTCACTCACCCACTCACCCACTCACCCATCCACTCACCCATCCACTCACCCACTCACCCACCCACCCACCCACTCACCTACCCACCCACCCACCCACTCACCTACCCACTCACTCACCCACCCACTCATATTCGTGGTGTCCGGCGTTGTGCGTCACGGGCCCAAATTTTCCCCAACTCGAAAATGAAACGGCAAAAAAAATAACTCAATTGGGATTACAGTAAACCCTTGTTAAGTCGACAAATATGGGGCTGTTGCCTTGCCAAATTATCTAATATTCTGAACTATGTACAATGGCACTGCCCAGTGGCACTGCCCAAATATACATTTTTCTTCCAAATTTGTTTTCCAAACTCTTACACACACACACACAGCGTAGGCATCGTCACACACGCAACACAGCCAGCATCAATTCCATCCAAAACTTTGGATTAGTCCCGCAGGCAAAGGGAATTATACTCCGGTCCCTTTCTGTGACTTCCCTATATAGGCGTAGACGACATTTCCGGGAGGGTTGGCTTGCACAGAGCGCACCAAACGAGGTGAAGTTCGAAGCGACGGGTCTGCACCGACGCTCACCGCACGCTCACCGCACGCTCACCGCACGCTCACCGCACGCTCACCGCACGCTCACCACGCTCACCGCACGCTCACCGCACGCTCACCCCACGCTCACCGCACGCTCACCGCCACCAGAACGAGCCGTTGTTTTGGTCGTGGAGCGCGGCGTTGCTCCACGCGCCGTGCCGCGATTGGGCCATTCGTGACGGTGATTTGGCTCGTGGCGAATAACCGATGTTGTGCATTGCGAAATAACGGGCTCTTACTGCGCGCGCATGCACACGCGGTGGTAGCAATCGCCGCTCCCTCGCTGGCAGACCGCCGATGCCCCGGGTCCCTCCTTGCGAACGAGACGAGAGCCTCGCTCGCCACTCCCTCGCACGCCCAATGCCAACAACCCCGCCGTTCGCCGCTCGGCGGCGGCGACGTCGCCGCGGCGCCTGTGCCAGGCCAGGTGCACGCACGCACGCATTCACCAGCGCGCCCCCCCACCCACACCCACACCCCACCTGATGGTCCCGGGGTTCTCCGTTCCGAGAGGGACCGGGCCTGACACTGGCAGGACGAAGCGCCCGTTAGAACTCTGCACTTTGTCCTTCAGGAAAATGGACACCTGAAACACCGCCGGGCGCGAACACACGCACACACACGCACACACACACACACGGCGGGGTCAGACGCAGCGCTCACATCGGCCTGTGCATCGCACGCGCGTGTCTTTGTCTGGCGTGTGTCTGTCTGTGTGCGTGTCTCACGACAACGAGCGGAGCGCCGGGTGGCTAAAGCGCAGCGGGTTGGCACAGTAGGGGGGCACGGGGGGGCGCATCAGCCAGCCGTCTCAGTCAGTCGACCCGTGGCACCTGCTGGGTCTGTCCCCGTGACCTCCTGCCAGCGGGCGTTCGACACTTCACGTGGCCTCAACGTGCACATGGCCTGGCACAAGCGTCGTGGTGACGTCAACGCCACTTGGTGGCGAATGAACGCCACTTAGTGGCGAATGGCGGCTGTTGTTGTTGTTGTCTGTGTGTGAGTGTCTTTGTGAGGCCGGGCGTGGTGCTTGCAGCCCACCCCCTCGTGTGCCGTGCCGGCCTTCACAGGTGCTGCTCGCTAACAGCACTTGCCCCGACAGTCTGTTAAGGCTATACAGGGGATCTTTGTCTTTGTGTGTAGTGGTGGTTAGCGCTACGCCGCGCTACGAACACGGCAACCCGAGTACGATTCCCGTTCGCGGCCAACACCCAGTGACGATTATCCTGAACCGGTCCTGGGCCTCCCTTAGGTCGACTCAGCCTCAAATTAGTACCTGGTGCGATGTGCAAACGTTTCCACGGGGGAGACAAAGGCGGCCGGGCGTGGCGCTGGCCACCCACCCCCTCGTGTGCCGTATCGGCCTTCATAGGTGCTGCTCGCTAACAGCACTTGCCCCAGCAGTCTGTTGCAGGCTACACGGAGGATCTTTGTCTTTTCTCAGTGAACCCCTAAAACACCTGGCAGGAGGTCACGTGACCTCGTGACCTCCTGCCAGCGAGTAGTGCAACACTTGCACGTGATGGCCTCGAAGCGCACCTAGCCTGGCACAAGCGATGTGGTGGCGTCGCCGCCGCTTTGTGGCCAACAGTCGGCTGTTGTTTGTTGTTGTTGTTGTTTGTTGTTGTTTGTTGTTGTTTGTTGTTGTTTGTTGTTGGTGTTGTTGTTTGTTGTTGGTGTTGTTGTGCGTTGCTGTTTGTTACCGTTGTTGTTGTTGTTACTCACGCGGATGTGCATGTCCTGGAAGAAGCTGAGCAGTGTCTGTCTGATCAGCTGAAACTCACCGGCAGATAGACAACTGTAGATCTGTGCACGCGTAGACACGCGCAGACACGCAGACACGCGCAGACACGCGCAGACACGTGCAGACACGCAGACACACAGACACACAAGACGCGCAATAAACACAGGAGGGCAAGTGCTCCCGTGACGCCACGATGGCCGAAGCGCAGGGTGCTAGCGCAGGGCGGCAGTGCGGTAGTGCACGGTGCTAGTGCGGGGTCGTAGCGCGGGGTCGTCGTGCGGGGTCGTAGTGCGGGGTCGTAGCGCGGGGTCGTAGTGCGGGGTCGTAGTGCGGGGTCGTAGTGCGGGGTCGTAGCGCGGGGTCGTAGTGCACGGTGCTAGTGCGGGGTCGTAGTGCGGGGTCGTAGCGCGGGGTCGTAGCGCGGGGTCGTAGCGCGGGGTCGTAGTGCGGGGTCGTAGTGCACGGTGCTAGTGCGGGGTCGTAGTGCGGGGTCGTAGCGCGGGGTCGTAGTGCGGGGTCGTAGCGCGGGGTCGTAGTGCACGGTGCTAGTGCGGGGTCATAGTGCGGGGTCGTAGTGCGGGGTCGTAGCGCGGGGTCGTAGCGCGGGGTCGTAGCGCGGGGTCGTAGTGCACGGTGCTAGTGCGGGGTCGTAGTGCGGGGTCGTAGCGCGGGGTCGTAGTGCGGGGTCGTAGCGCGGGGTCGTAGTGCACGGTGCTAGTGCGGGGTCATAGTGCGGGGTCGTAGTGCGGGGTCGTAGCGCGGGGTCGTAGCGCGGGGTCGTAGTGCGGGGTCGTAGTGCACGGTGCTAGTGCGGGGTCGTAGTGCGGGGTCGTAGCGCGGGTCGTAGCGCGGGGTCGTAGTGCACGGTGCTAGTGTGGGGTCGTAGTGCGGGGTCGTAGTGCGGGGTCGTAGCGCGGGGTCGTAGTGCGGGGTCGTAGCGCGGGGTCGTAGTGCACGGTGCTAGTGCGGGGTCATAGTGCGGGGTCGTAGTGCGGGGTCGTAGTGCGGGGTCGTAGCGCGGGGTCGTAGCGCGGGGTCGTAGTGCACTGTTGCAGCGCAGGGCGGCAGTGCTCGGTGGCGGCAGTGCGGTAGTGCACCGTGGTCGCGTAGGGTCGTGGTGTAGGCCGGCAGCGCAGGGGCGGCAGTGCAGTAGTGCAGGGTGCTAGCGCACGGAGGCAGTGCGGGGTGGCGGCAGTGCGGGGTGATGGCAGTGCGGTAGTGCAGAGTGCTAGCGCACGGAGGCAGTGCGGGGTGGCGGCAGTGCGGGGTGATGGCAGTGCGGTAGTGCAGGGTGCTAGCGCACGGAGGCGGTGCGGGGGTGGCTGCAGCGCGGTAGCGCAGGTCGGCAGTGCGGGGGTGGTGGCAGCGCGGTAGCGCAGCGCGCGCCGGCCGTGCCTCGACGAGGTGGCGGAAGGTGTCGTCGACGCTGGCGAGGATGGCGGGGGAGTCGCGCACAAAGGCCCGCACGGCGTCCACGTGGTTGAGCGTGACCATGAGGAGGTCGCGGGGGTGCACGCACGAGAACACCTGGTACTTCAGCGCCATCGTCATCAGGTCGTAGAGCTACGCGCAAAGTCACGCGCGCCGAGACGGAGAAACCGTCGGACGAAACCAACCGACGAGCCGCACCGATTGGCTGTGTCGGGTGGCGGCGGGTTTAACGACACGAGAAAACAAAAACCAAAACGACACTCTACGATGGAATGATATTTTACGGGGACGTTTTTTTTTTTTTTGCGAGTGCTAAAGTACGGGGGAAAATCATGTTCGGTGTTTGAACATCTTAACACCTATTTTATTGCCACAGAGGGTTAAAAAACCTATTGTTATTTTTTCCTACCTTGAAACTGGCAAAAAAATCAAAGGTCCCACATTGTAGCTGCTCAACCGCGAGCTATGAATGCGCTGACAATGGCATTGCCCCTGTACCGTTCAACTTTTCGTGTTGTTCTTCGGGTCTAACACTGGTGGTGAGACCTGGCCCTAAAGAAGGCAGTCTCTGGTGTAGACCAATCAGTTTCAAAGACAATGCCCAAATATTATCACATCATGTTTTATATTCTTGGTTCTTTCGGTAAAGTCACGTAGAAGGGAAACAATAAAATAATAAAAATATAAAACAATAAAATTCTCACGACGTTTCGACCGCGAAACAAGCAATCATCATCAGGTGTGAAAACCACAGCAAGATTTTTTTTCAAATTTTCTTGCTGTGGTTTTCACACCTGATGATGACTGCTTGTGTTGCAGTCGAAACGTCGTGAGAATTGTATTGTTTTATATTTTTATTATTTTATTGTTTCCCTTCTACGTGGTGACTTTACCGAAAGAACCAAGAATATGAATCCCTGCAGTCACGAAAGCTTTAAATCAAAACATCATGTTTTTGTTTAACACGTAGACTTTCGCGACCGATATTATGAAGAGCACGTTTTGTTTGCGTGTTCACAAGTACCGTCTGTGGTTAATGCAGTAACATTTTGGTATTTGAACATTTAAACACCCGTTTTATTGGCAGAAAGGGTAAAACCTATTCTTATTTTTCATATTGATAACATTGGCCGCGCGAGCCTACGTGTTAAATTAAACTAATTACTATTTTTATTTTACCAGGTAAGAAGGCTCCACTGACCTACGTAGCGCTTTTGTCAGAAGCGACCTGGCTATCACAAATGATAGCTCAACGAAGTGGCTTATCATCGTGTGGACATTTCTAGCAGAAAGCCAAATAACTATAAACGCGTGGTGATGTTGATTCTAAATGTGGAGGGGAAGAAACCGGAGGACTGGGAGAAAAATCCACGCGACCACGGGGAGAGAGAGAGAGACACGCAAACTCCAAATATACAGCAGCAGGCGTCAGGGTCGGGATCGAACCCACGACCTCCTGTATACCAGGCGAGGTAGTCAACATTTCACCACGGACGGAGAGAGACACGCAAACTCCAAATATACAGCAGCACGTGTCAGGGTCATGATCTAACCCACGACCTCCTGTATACCAGGCGAGGTAGTTAACATCTCACCACAGGGAGAGAGAGACACGCAAACTCCAAATATACAGCAGCAGGCATCAAGGGTCGGGATCGAACCCACGACCTCCTGTACACCAGGCGAGGTAGTTAACAACATGCGTTCAGAGCTATCGTGCGTGATGGCCAGGTCGCTTCTGACAAAAGAGTTACAGTATATTGATAGCTCAGCGGGGCTTTACCGAGTAAAATAAAAAATACAAACTGTTTAATAGTTAAAATAAAAAAAATAAAAAATAAACCTTCTTATTCAGATTACATGCACTCTTCTACCTACAAACGAGTTAGGTTCCAGAGGTAATGTTCGTAAGTCGATTTGTTCGTTAAGTCCAACTTTACTCCTGTCTATTCCAAACATGTTGTACGGCGTGTACACTAAACACGGGCTTTGAAAGTTGTATAATCTGCACATGTAAATGCCATTGGCTCTTCATGTTCTGTAGATGCATTCCCAGCATTTCTGCCAAGGCAGAAGTGCTGGGAATGCTGGGTAATCACAGCGAACAACCGCCGCTAATATATTAAACTTACGACCCTCGGTCCGAACAGGCAACTGAACGTAGGGGCGGGTTTGTTTGTAAGTCTCTGAAAGTTCGTAAGTCTCTGAAAATATATTCTTGGTTCTTTCGGTAAAGTCACGTTAGAAGGGAAACAATAAAATAAATAAAAAATATAAAACAATAAAATTCTCACGACGTTTCGACTGCAACAAAAGCAATCGTCATCAGGTGTGAAAACCACAGCAAAAAAATTTGAAAAAAGTGGCGGGTTTTTTTTCTTGCTGTGATTTTCACACCTGATGATGATTGCTTGTTTTGCAGTCGAGACTTCGTGAGAATTGTATTGTTTAATATTTTTTTTCATTTTATTGTTTCCCTTCGACGTGACTTTACCGAAAGAACCAAGAATATGAATCCCTAATAAAGTATTAAAGCTTTCGTGACTGCGTAAAATTACTCATTGTTTTTTGTTCGGTAAAGTCACGTACGTAGAAACGCAATAAAATTATATTTAAAAACAAAACAATCGCGACGTTTCGATCGCAACGCGAGCGATCTTCATCAGGTGTCAAGAACAAATCACGGAGGTAAATACAACGACAAAAAGATGGTCTGTTGAATTCTCGTCTCTCATCTTCTCGTTGTATTCACCTCCATGATTTGTTCTTGACACCTGACGAAGATCGCTTGCGTTGTGATCGAAACGTCGCGATCGTTTCGTTTTCATAATTTTTTTTTACTGTATTTCTACGTACGTGACTTTACCGAAAAACAAACCAATGAGTGTAATGTGAACCCCTGCAGTCGTCGAAAGCTTTAAATCAAAATTTAAGTCTCCGCGAAAAGTTCGCGAGCGGAGATTGTCCCTGGACGGGCCGACGGAGGGAAAGGGGGCCCCCCCCCGCGCTTCCCGACGGAGACCCCTCCGTACCTTGTCCATGCTCGCCGCATTGAGCCTCATGATGGAGGCGTGGGCGAGACGGTCAAACACGGTGCGTAGGGCTTTCTTTGAGTACAGCTGCTGGGGCTTGAGGAGCTCCTCCATGAAGCGCTTCGTGAACATGGTGCTGATGATGTCGTTCATGACTGCAAAGTCGCAGAATAGTGGGCGGGGGGGGGGAGGGGTGGGCGACGGGTGGCACGGGCAAGGTTTTTAAGTTCGAAGCTTTCGTGACTGCAAGGATCCGTACTCTTTGGTATCTATTCGGTAAAAGTCACGTAAAAGTCTAAAACAACAAAAAATAAAATTGAAAAAATTCACGCAGGGTGTAGCTACACCCTGTGTGAATGTTTTTTGGTGTAGCTACACCCTGTGTGAATTTTCATTTATTTTTTTGTTGTTTTATACTTTTATGTGACTTTACCGAATAGAACCAAAGAGTATGGATCCTTCACACAGGGTGTAGCTACACCCTGTGTGAATTTTTTTAATTTTTTTGTTGTTTTATACTTTTACGTGACTTTACCGAATAGATACCAAAGAGTATGGATCCTTCACACAGGGTGTAGCTACACCCTGTGTGAATTTTTTTTTAATTTTTTTGTTGTTTTATACTTTGACGTGACTTTACCGAATAGAACCAAAGATTTAAAGCTTTCGTGACTGCAAGGATTCATCTTCTTTGGTTCTTTCGGTAAAGTCACAATAAATTATTGTGTTATTTTATTTTATCAATTTATTATTTTATTCTCATTCTACGTGGTGACTTTACCGAAAGAACCAAAGAAGATAGAACCAAAGAGTATGGATCCTTTATTGTTTTTTTGTTGTTTTATACTTTGACGTGACTTTACCGAATAGATACCAGAGAGTAAGGTTTGTTAAGCACCCGCTAATTGTCTCAGTATCTAAATGGACTACGACCTGATGCACAGAGGGAGAGACTGACAACAACTCTCCGGCAGGAGTGCGGCGACTTTGGGGGGGGGTCGTCACGGAACAGCCACCGTAGGACGCGTGATGACACAATGCCGCCCCCCACCGCCCCCCCCCCCCCCCGTCAAAACGTTTCGTACCACAACGTCCGAACAACGTTTCCCTCCAACGTCGACACAACATTCACCCCCCCCCAAAGTCAATACAACATTCACCCCCCCCAACGTCAACACAACATTCACCCCCCCCCCCCAACGTCAACACAACATTCACCCCCCCCCCCCCCCCCCCAACGTCAACACAACATTCACCCCCCCCCCAAAGTCAATACAACATTCACCCCCCCCAACGTCAACACAACATTTCGACGGACGACGGAAACGTGGAGTTGGCGGGCCCCCCTTGTTGTTGTTATTATTGTTGTTGTTGTTTTTGTTGTTGTTTGCGTTGTTGTTTTTGTTGTTGTTTGTGTTATTATTATTGTTGTTGTTTTTGTTGTTGTTTGCGTTGTTGTTGTTGTTTGTGTTGTTATTATTATTGTTGTTGTTTTTGTTGTTGTTTGCGTTGTTGTTTGTGTTGTTGTTGTTTTTGTTGTTGTTTTTGTTGTTGTTTGTGTTGTTTTTGTTTTTGTTGTTGTTGTTTTTGTTGTTTGTGTTGTTGTTGTTGTTTTTGTTGTTGTTTGTGTTGTTATTGTTGTTATTGTTGTTGTTTTAGTTGTTGTTGTTGTTTGTGTTGTTGTTGTTTGTGTTGTTGTTATTGTTGTTGTTTGTGTTGTTGTTGTTTGTGTTGTTGTTATTGTTGTTTGTGTTGTTGTTGTTTGTGTTGTTATTGTTGTTGTTTGTGTTGTTGTTGTTTGTGTTGTTGTTGTTGTTTGTTGTTGTTTTTGCCCTACCCTTGCGCGCTTTGTCCACGGGGATGGTCTGCGCCCGGAGCCTCTGGTCCAGGATGTAGAGCATCTCGCCGCCCAGGTTGATGAAGAGCAGGGGCAGCGTGCGGCTCGACATGGCTGGAGGACGAGAGGGCTCCACGGGGAATGATCGGGCAGGAGCAGCAGCAGCAGGAGCAGTAGGAGCAGCAGCAGCAGCAGCAGGAGCAGCAGCAGGAGGAGCAGCAGGAGCAGCAGGAGGAGCAGCAGGAGGAGCAGGAGCAGTAACAACAGGAGCAGCAGCAGTAGGAGCAGCAGCAGCAGTAGTAGTAGGAGCAGCAGCAGTACCAGCAGTAGCAGCAGCAGTACCAGCAGTAGCAGTAGGAGCAGCAGCAGGAGCAGGAGCAGTAACAGGAGCAGCAGGAGCAGCAGCAGTAGCAGCAGGAGACGAATCAACGGGGAGAGAGGTGCAGCGGTGGATGAAGGACGCAGCCGACTGGATGAAGGACGCAGCAGTGAATGATGCAGCAGTGAATGAAGGACGCAGCAGTGAAGGATGCAGCAGTGTATGAAGGGTGCAGCAGTGAACGATGTAGCAGTGAATGAAGGACGCAGCAGTGAAGGATGCAGCAGTGAAGAATGCTGTAGTGTATGAAGGGTGCAGCAGTGAACGATGTAGCAGTGAATGAAGAATGCAGCAGTGAATGAAGGGTGCAGCAGTGAACGATGTAGCAGTGAATGAAGGATGCAGCAGTGAATGAAGGACGCAGCAGTGAAGGATGCAGCAGTGTATGAAGGGTGCAGCAGTGAACGATGTAGCAGTGAATGAAGGATGCAGCAGTGAATGAAGGACGCAGCAGTGAAGGATGCAGCAGTGTATGAAGGGTGCAGCAGTGAACGATGTAGCAGTGAATGAAGGACGCAGCAGTGAAGGACGCAGCAGTGAAGAATGCTGTAGTGAATGAAGGGTGCAGCAGTGAACGATGTAGCAGTGAATGAAGGACGCAGTAGTGAAGGATGCAGCAGTGAATGAAGAGTGCAGCAGTGAACGATGTAGCAGTGAATGACGCAGCAGTGAAGAATTCTGTAGTGTATGAAGGGTGCAGCAGTGAAGGACGCTGTAGTGGATGAAGGACGCGGCAGTGAATGAAAGCGGAACGAGAAATCGGATGAAGGAAATGAGGGCGGTGGAGGAGTTGAACGACTACGGAGGGAACGACTCAGCTGCAGCAGCTGCAGCAGCAGCAGAAAGCGAAGCAGGAGGAGCTGCAACAGGAGAGGGAAGAGGCGAGGCGGATCGGCGACAGCGGCGGTGTTAGGCGAGGCAGGCTGCAGGCCTGGGCGCCGCGCGTTGCCATGGAGACCGGAGTTAGAGGGTCACGCAAAGACTACAATCATACTCTAACAATCATATAAGACTCTACAATCATACAGGGTGGTGGTGGTGGGGTCCTTAAATGAATATAACAAATCGTTTAAAAAAATATGTCATTCGAGATACAGGCACACGTTTAATATGACGACATGGGAATATACTTTGACGTTTTGCATAGCTGGAGTGTATAGTAGTGTATAGTGTAGTGTATAGTGTAGTGTGTAGTAGTGTAGTGTATCGTGCAGTGTATAGTGTATTGTGTAGTGTAGTGTATAGTGTAGTGTATAGTAGTGTAGTGTATAGTAGTGTAGTGTATAGTGCAGTGTATAGTAGTGTATAGTGTAGTGTATAGTAGTGTAGTTTATAGTGCAGTGTGTAGTAGTGTAGTGTATAGTGCAGTGTATAGTAGTGTAGTGTATAGTGTAGTGTGTAGTAGTGTAGTGTATAGTGTAGTGTGTAGTAGTGTAGTGTATAGTAGTGTAATAGTGTAGTGTATAGTGTAGTGTATAGTGCAGTGTATAGTAGTGTAGTGTATAGTGCAGTGTATAGTAGTGTAGTGTATAGTGCACTGTATAGTAGTGTAGTGTATAGTGTAGTGTATAGTAGTGTATAGTGCAATGTGTAGTAGTGTATAGTGTAGTGTATAGTGCAGTGTATAGTAGTGTATAGTGCTGTGTATAGTAGTGTAGTGTATAGTAGTGCAGTGTATAGTGTAGTGTATAATGCAGTGTATAGTAGTGTATAGGATAGTGTATAGCGGAGTGTATAGTAGTGTAGTGTATAGTGTAGTGTGTAGCAGTGTAGTGTGTAGTGCAGTGTATAGTAGTGTAGTGTATAGTAGTGTATAGTGTAGTGTATAGTGCAGTGTGTAGTAGTGTAGTGTATAGTGCAGTGTGTAGTAGTGTAGTGTATAGTGTAGTGTATAGTGCTGTGTATAGTTGTATAGTGTATAGTAGTGTAGTGTATATTGTAGTGTATAGTGTAGTGTAGAGTGTAGTGTATAGTAGTGTATAGTGTAGTGTATAGTAGTGTATAGTGTAGTGTATAGTGTAGTGTATAGTGTATAGTGCTATGTATAGTAGTGTAGTGTATAGTGCAGTGTATAGTAGTGTAGTGTATAGTGCAGTGTGTAGTAGTGTAGTGTATACTGTAGTGTATAGTGTAGTGTATAGTAGTGTAGTGTATAGTGCAGTGTATAGTAGTGTGGTGTATAGTGTAGTGTATAGTGCAGTGTATAGTAGTGCAGTGTATAGTGCAGTGTATAGTAGTCTAGTGTATAGTTGTAGTGTATAGTAGTGCTGTGTATAGTAGTGTATAGTGTAGTGTATAGTGCAGTGTATAGTAGTGTAGTGTGTAGCAGTGTAGTGTATAGTAGTGTGTAGTAGTGCAGTGTGTAGTGTAGTGTATAGTAGTGTAGTGTATAGTGTAGTGTATAGTAGTGTAGTGTATAGTAGTGTATAGTGTAGTGTATAGTGCAGTGTATTGTAGTGTATAGCTCGTGTTCTTGTACATGGGCAATTGAGTTTTCACGTTTATAAGGGTCACGGGGTTACTAATAACGTCTGAATTGGTCTGTAACGAGGTAGGGTACATGTATGGTTTTAGTTTATTTAAACATGTTTTTTTTGTAATGGTTATGAATTGTTAATAAACTTCAACACGTCGTCCATCATTCAGGTTGGCGAGAAGATGTTGACTACCTCGCCTGGTATACAGGAGGTCGTGAGTTCAATCCCGACCCTGACGATGCCTGCTGCTGTATATTTGGAGTTTGTGTGTCTCTCTCTCTCCGTGGTGAGATATTGACTACCTCGCCTGGTATGCAGGAGGTCGTGGGTTCGATCCAGACCCTGACGATGCCTGTTGCTGTATATTTGGAGTTTGCGTGTCTCTCTCTCTCTCCGTGGTGAGATGTTAACTACCTCGCCTGGTATACAGGAGGTCATGGGTTCAATACCCACCCTGACGATGCCTGCTGTTGTATATTTTTAGTTTGTGTGTCTCTCTTTCATCGTGGTCGCGTGGATTTTTCTCCGAGTCCTCCGGTTTTTCCCCTCCCCATTTAGAATCAACACCCACGCGTTCAGAGTGTCTGGCTGCTGCTATAAATTGCCACGTGATGATGATAAGGGGCCGTCCATAAATGACGTCACGCACCTGGGGGGGGGACGGTCAGACAATTGTGACGATGGGGGGGGGGGGTTTGAGAGCTGTGACGTCACATCATAATGCGAAGCTTTAAATAAATATAGACAACACGTTCTATTTAATTGAATAGACTTTTTAATAAATGTTTTCTCCGACATCAGAGTGCAGCGCCACATTAAATACGCACTACTACAATGACAATAGTTTAAAGCGATTTGAAGCATGTTTTATATATTTTTTTTGGGGGGGGGGGCGCAGAGCTTTGTGACGTCATATTTGAGGGGGGTCTGACTTTTTGTGACGTCATTTATGGACGGTCCCTAAGCCACTTCGTTGAGCTATCATTTGTGATGGCCAGGTCGCTTCTGAAAAAGAGCGACGTTAGCTCAGTGGAGCCTTAACTGGGAAAATGAAAAATTTACAAAAAATATTTTTGGCCAGCAGAGGGCAGTGCAGGATAAGCCAAAGTCAACAATTAAGCAGACCTTGTGACTTTGCTGGGTAAATACCATTCTATAAATACATGATTTTAAATGCTATCCAAAACACTAACGAGATAATAACCTCATTTCAGGTGTAAGAAAAGAAAAACATATATTACCTAGAAATGTAAGCGCTTTTAAAAATATGTTTTCCAGAGTAATTGAAGGCATGGCGGTTAAGTTTTCGATAGATTATTAGATTTTATTTATTTTAGCCTCTTGCACAGTAAAGATTTTAACTCAGTGGCCTTAAAATAAATTTATAGCCGACGTTTCGGGTCAATGACCCTTCTTCAGAACGCATTAAACGGGACCGCAGGCAACATTCCAAAGGCGCAGGTAAAAATTCGTGAATCACACTGTGTGAGTGTGTGCTTATATTGCCGATGACTGGTACCAGCGGTGTCAAGATCGGCCTCTGTGGAGGAGGCTCGTGAAGGACGCTACTGCTGCTACTGGGCAGTTGGAGGCAGTCGCCCTCCAACAACAACGGAGGGCTGAGGAGCGACGCTCACAACAACGGGCGGAGCGCCGGGTGGCTAAAGCACAGCAGGTTGGCACAGTAGGGGGCACACGTGGTGCATCAGCCAGTCGTCTCAGTCATCTCAGTCAGTCGACCCGTGGCACCTGGGTCTGCCCCGTGACCTCCTGCCAGCGGGCGTTCAACACTTCACGTGGCCTCAAGGTGCACATAGCCTGGCACAAGCGTCGTGGTGACGTCACCGCCATTTAGTGGCGAATGGCGGTTGTTGTTGCTTATATAATCTTGCAGTTGACCTATCAATGTTTGCAACAGGTTAAGCCGCGCAATATTTACAGGAACTGACCCACCTTAGCTTGGGTTGGCTACGTACGGTGCGAAAGAAATTTGATACCCCACTCAGGGCCACCACCGGTGACGATGATCTGCACCGGTCCTGGGACCTCCGCCTATGTCGACTCGGCCTCAAAATTAGTACCTGGTGAGGTGGTGCTGTTGAGGCTATACAGGGGATCTTTGTCTTAGAAGGAAAACATAAAATATATAATAAGCGACGTTTCGGGCGATGGCCCTTCTTTATAGCACGTGAGAGGTGAGAACGAGGGGTGGGAGGTTGATACCGTGGCCACGTGGTCAGACATGAATTAAGCATTAGGCCAGTTAATCATGTTTCTCTCTCTCTCTCTCGAGCTCTCAGCATTAATCAGCTTTAATAGAGTGTGATTACATTCTCAAGGCTGT